GTAAATGAGCAGGTCTCTTTAGTTGAATTTAGTTGTTTTCCCTGATTGTCATCTGTGTATGGTGCAGTCATAAAGGAAAAAATTATAGGAGAAAGAAAAAGTTACTAGCACAACTGATGGAGGTGTTGGGTGTGCAGAAGGCTTGTAACAAATTGCTACTTATATATGCTATTATGAAATACTGTATCATCAAATTTCTGTTTAGAAATAGAACAAGTCTGGAAGTATTGTGCACTATTTTGAATGTGGGAAAAATGCAAATACTCTGGAATCACCCTTTTTTTCCACTAACAACATTCTAGAATCTTGGAATCACAGAATGATAAATGGTTAGAATGTAAAGATTACATAGTCCTAATCTCCTCTGCAGAGACACCTCCCCCTGGACGAAGTCGCTCAAGGCCTTATTCAGCCTACCTTTGAACAGTATCAGTGTTGGGATATCCAGAACCTCTTTGGGCAACCTGTTCAGAGTCTCACCATACTCACAGTATATAATTTCTTCCTAATATCTAACATAAATTTCCCCTTTTTCATTTGTACTTCTTACTCCTCGTCTTATCATTGCAGTTCCTGATGAAGAGTCCCTCTCTGAACTTTCTTGTCAGATACTGGAAGTTGGCCATGAGGTCTCCATGCAACCTTCTTTTCTCCAGGCTGAACAGCCTCAGCTTTTTCAGCCTGTCTTCACAAAGGAGGTACTTCAGTCCTCTTACAAACTTCATGACCCTCCTCTGGACTTGCTCTAACAGTTTCATGTCCTCCTGATGCTGGAGACACCAGAACTGAATGCAGTGTTCCAGTTGGGATCTCACATGAGCAGAGTAGAGGAGCAGAATCATCTCCTTTGACCTGCTGGCCACATTCCTTGTGATGCAGCCCAGGGTTCAATTGTCTTTCTGGGCTGTGAGCACACACAGCTCGTTTGTGTGGAGTTTTTCATCACCTGTCAGCCCCAAGTCTTTCTTACCAGAGCTGCTCTCAATCACTTCTCTGCCCAACCCATTGTTGTGTCTGGGATTGCAGTGAACCCAGGTGTAGTGTTGGCGATGAAGAGAGAGGAAGACTCCATGAAATGGTCAAAGAATCCAAATTTATTGTGAAGTACAACTGCTGATATACTTATTCGAGGAAGACTAGTAGTTTTTTACTACCAGGATTGGATTAATCATCACATAAACAAATGAATGCATTTTACAGCATCTCTTGCATTTTGCATCTCTTGCTTACAGAGTTTGATGTAATTTTCTTTTTCCAGTAGGTCAGTCTGATTTAATCTTCTTGCAATCTTGATTTAATCCTCAAAGTTCTGTTTGCTATTGCCAAGGCATCCTGTTATCAAATCTCTTGTGCTAACCAGATACAAAGTCCATTATCTGTCTTGAGTGTCCCAATAGTGTAGGACCTTGCACTTTGCTTTGTTGAACTTTATGAGGTTTGCTTCAGCCCACGTCTGTCACACAGACTGGTGTCATCAGTGAACTTGCTGAGACACCATGATCCTGCTGTCCATGTCACCAACAAAGGTGTTTTAAACAGTATCGGTTCCAGTATGGACACTTGAGGGACACCACTCATCACTGGTCTCCATATGCACTGTGAGCCACTGACCAAAACTGTGTGTGTGACCATCCAGCCAGTTCTGTATCCACCAAGTGGTTCCACCATCAAATCCCTGTCTCTCCAATCTGGAGACAAGGATGTCATGCGGGAGTGTGAAACACTTTGCGTTTCGTCCACGTAGACAATGACAGTTGCTCTGCCCCTGTCCACCAATACTGCAGCCCTGTCATAGAAGGTCACTAAATTTGTTAGGCATGATTTTCTCCTTTTAGAACCATTTTAGCTGTTGTCAGTCACCTCTTTGTTGGCCAGGTACCATAGCATAGTTTCGTGTAGAATCTGCTGTGTGACCTTGCCTGGCACAGAGGTGAAACTGACTGGTCAGTAGTTCCCCATATCTTCCACTTTTCCCTTTTTAAAAATAAGGATTATATTTCCCTTCTTCCAGTCATCAAGGACTTCACCTGATACAAGTTTTCAAAAATTAATGGATAGTGGTTTGGCAACTTCATCTGCTAGCTCCCTCAGGACCCATGGATGAACTTCATTGGGTCCCATAGACTTGTGCACATTCAGGTTCCTTAGATGGTCTCAAACCTGATCCTCTCCTACAGGGGGCTCAGGATCTTCATCCTCCCAGTCCCTGCATCTGCCTTTCGTGACTTGAGTGGTGTGGTTGGAGCACTTGCCAGTGAAGACAGACGCATAGAAGTCACTGAGAACCCCAGCCTCCTCTTTGTCCAGGGTAGCCAGGTCTCCTATTTTCTTCCCACATTATCCCTAGTCTTTCTTTTGCTTGCCACATACCTTTAGAAGCCCTTCCTGTTATCCTTAGTATCCTGCAGGAGAGGTTTTGTTTTGCTGAGCACTGTTAATTACCTGAGTACAATCACACATTTAATCTCTAAAGTATTGTCATATGGCTTTCAAACCACATCACAACAGATTGATTCCATCATCCTGATCCTCATCTTCAACATTTATGTGAAGATAGCTTATGTAGTCCACTTTGCCTATTTTCTACATTTCATTTTTTTCAGAATTAAACTTTATCAAAGCCATTTGACAGGAAAATAGGAAAAGTGTGGACTGTAGGATTGAGCCATCAGCTTCTCTGGTGTGTTCTGTTTTGTGTCATTTTGTTTTGGGTTTTGTTGCAGTAGTGCCTCCAACAAGGCCCATCTCACTGGAGTGCTGCCAGGTCTGCTGTTGCTGTGATGTCAGCTTGATGGTAGATGTAGTTGCTGGAGTAATGAGAAGAACATGACCAGTTGAACACTGTACCTTAGTGTATGACCCTGTGCCAAGACAGTACTTCTTAAGACAGATGTTTTGTCTTTGCAATTGCAAAATAACAAATGAAGAGAAGAAACTTAGTGAGAAAGTTGTGGCAATGGCAACTTAGATGCAGTCCAGAACAAAAAAACCCATGCCACTTCCATGATAAACTCAGTTAAACTTTCTATGCTTGTACTTTCAGAAGGCCAGAGATGTTCCTTGTTGTAGAGGGAATGATGTAGACATGCTAGCTTTTTCCCCATGCCCACCCCTAGACAGAGGCAGAGCCTTCTTTTGCACCTTGATGAACAAAACAGAAATTTAGAAAGGCATTTTCCAAGGCAAGGTAGGAAGAAAAGTGCACGCTGTTTGTGAAGATTCTCTAGAAAGTCAGACTGACAACTGATACATTTTGCCTTACTCAGCATCCTCCAGTCTTGGAATTAGCCAATTCTGTTTGTAACAGGGCTTTTACAAGGATGTTGGCCACACCATCAGGTTGATGGACTTGAGCTGTATTCCTGTACTGATACCCCCTAAATATGACAGGAGGAACACAGCTGTGGGATGTGCACCAGCTGCCTGCACTGCTAGTCATGCACCGGTGTCTGATCTTGAAATGTAGCAACTCAGCATAACCAGTCTGTGGCAAGTGAAAATACTTCTGGAGCACATAAGTCAAGAAAAATTGGTTTAAATTCCTAGTGAATTTCCTTGCAAACAACACACCATAGAAAGACCACTTTGTGATAGGCAGTAATTGCAGTATTTCCAGGTGCCATTTTGTGGTGAGACCAAGAATTACATATTCTGCGCACAAGAAAGCAGGAAAGTAAATGGGCAGGACAATTTTCCCAACTCATCAGGCAACTATGGCAGTGTTCAGTTGTCATCAACCTTGATTATAAAAAAGCTTCTAGAAAATATGATTTGGGCATATGCTATTTTTAAAGTGGATGGGAGAAAAGCTTCCTTCTCTGAGCTGGAATTTACTGTGTGTGTGAAAGATTATGGGGGAAAAAACTTTCCAAAGGGTATGAAAACACCTCGGTTTATTTGCTGTAGAATAGCCCATATGGACAGTGTGTTTTTATATACTTATTATGTACTTTTAATGCAATTCCAACTGCCATAGCATATATAAGGATCTGTAATACTTCAGACACAGCTGTGTAGCATCTAATGTGGTCCCACAACTCCAGTGCTCTTCCAGTGATGCTTTATTTTTACACAAACATATGATGGATTTCTTTTATCATGCTCAGAACCACAGGAGTTGTCTAAGTTGTGGTTCAACCCATTAAATATTTTATGAGAATAAGAAAAGTGGTTCTTAAAAGTGTGAGAGTCTTACCTGTGTGAAGATCCGTCAGTGATTCTTGAAATGATGAGCTGTTTGTTACAGAGGGTGAAATCAGGATCATGGTACATAAGAAGTTTCTTGGTACCTGAATATAGTTGAATTTGGTTTTGTATGCAAGAGGATATGCTTCAGGCTATCCAAATGATGTTGTAAATTAGTCTTCCATACCTCAGGTATGGGTAGCTGTTTAATCTAAGTAAACAGTAGCAGATACTGTCTAACCCTGCCAAAAGTATATTTGGATAGGGAAGAGAAAATTTATTATATTGGGATGATTTTCAGGCTTTTCTCCATACTTGTCTAAGAACAAGTAATCCTATGTTGAACTTGAAGACCTTCTAATACTAATGAGAACACTATTAAAACCAAAAATGAAAGTAAGAGAAGGAATTTGAAGAAACAAATAATTACAAGCCTAGCCATCAGACCAAACTAGAAAAATTTCCAGTTGCCCTGATGACTGTGTGGTCACCATATTTTATCCAAAATTTTGATGGCAGGAACTAATAGCCATGGTGCGCAGGCACAGATGCTTAAGATCTGGAAGCCTGACACTTCATGGGAGTTCCAGAGCCCTGAGGCAGGTAACTGTAAAAGGAAAGTCAAAATTTTGGAGTTAGGCAGAAGGCTGGAAAGAAGGCTGTCTTTTGGCTTTGTCATAGAAATACCTATTCTGTGAGGATTTTTTGATTCATGCAACTAAACATTACTCAGTTGTTAACAAGAAAATCTTTCAAAGTGCATGTCATTGTTGATGTAACTTTAAAAGTATTTTTTCCTTGTTCTCTTCCTTTAGAGCCCAGTGAAGATAAATCAGATCAGCCTGGATGAAAGTGGAGAACACATGGGTGTTTGCTCAGAAGATGGGAAGGTACAAAAAATCTCTTTATATATTTGTTGAGATAGCAGGTAGTTCTAGTATTACACTAGGATAACTGTGATAACCTGTGCATTGTGCACCACTACTCCGACCATATCTTTTGAGAACTGAACTCACCCTTGAATACTCAAAATTAAAGTCAAATATATTTTGCACAAATATGCTGTAGAAAAGTAATTACAAGAATGTCAATAATGTAACTGCTATTAAGCTGATTAACAGCTGTGACAGGAGGGCATGTCAACTTAATCATTACTGCTGTGCCAGTTATACTTCATTGACTACTCTGCTGTTCCTGCAAGACAGTAGTTTAATGCCTCTCTGCTATAAATCCACAAAATTGGATTTTGTGGACATGATTTCTGTGGGATGGTGGTTTTCATTTTCACACACTTTATGAATGTTTCTCTTGAATTACAGAATCTTTTGATAAACAATCGTAGTTTAACAGAAGAACAAAGTGTCTTACAACAGCCACATTAAATAAATGTAAAATCAATATATGTACAGTTTCCTAAAAACCTGAGACCTACTTCCTTGACTGAGGACATATATCATTTGTGTAGTGTGTAAGTAACAATTATCAGTGCTTCTCGGGAATGTTGAGCTGTGACATTTAGTGGTTTTAGTGATTGATTTTCCAGTTATAAGAATGTCTTTTTGTTTTTTCAGTGGATGACAGTATTTTCTAATGTTGGTTTGCAATGATAAAATTCTAATGCACAGAGTGTATTTAAGCTTCTTTTTTTCATATAGTGCCCATATACAAATGAAATGCATTAAAAGTAATTTAAATGATTTCTCAATATCCTGTTTACTTCTCAGGAGAACATTTCTTACACAGTAGACATGGGGGAGGAGGAGTGTTGGTAATCCTAATGTTGCATTCAGTTGAAGTTCTTTAAATTAAAATACAGCTGGAATTTGCAGTAGGAAAAATGGGGAAACAGCCCCTTTAGACTGTATGCATTTGGGTTTTTTTCCTTACAAATAGAGGGGGCTTTTTCCCTCAACAGGCAGGCAGAGAGTGTGTGTATCCAGGCCTTTTATTTCTGAGAGATATCTTGATGTCAGTATCTTGGCACAGTAATTAGGATACTAGTGCCTATTAAAGTGGTTGTAGAATTTTACATCCTGTGTGAAACACCACAAGAGTATCGTATTTGTCTAAGCAAGATAAGGCAAGGGTGAGTAATTGTGCAAGCTAATAAAAATGTTGAGCTAGCACTGTTGGATTAGGTTTTCCTATGGTGTTGAGGATCAAGCACTTACTGTAAGGGCTCCTCGGATGTGACTGTGGATGACTGTCAGTGATCTGCTTTGCTGCAGTGAGACTGCAAGCCATACACATTTTTTTAGTTTACAAAGCTAATTTTAAATATACTTATTTAATTTCAGAAATACTGAAAAACCCATAATCACTACTCTGGTGTGGCTCTATTTGAAAATACTTCAATACTTTAAATAGTAACTGTCCTCATTTAGTGAAATAGCAGTTGTGGATCCAGTGTGTGACATTACATACTATACAAGGCAAAGTAAAATACAGTCCCACAGCCACAGGGATGGAGTATCACAGGTACAATATTCAGCATATTTGCATTAATAGAGTCCAGGGACATGGGTGCTTCACCATATTCTACACTTGTGAAAAATTCATCTGGAGATTTAAAAGATCTGGGTATTTTAGAAGTTAGATTTTCCACATGATCCAAAAAGGCTTGTGTCTGTGAAATAATTGACCCTTAAAATTGATTAAAATAAATAGTTTTATATTGTGCTACTGTGTAAGAAAATGGCAGATTCCCAGCCAAATAATGTAGCACTTATAGATTCTGGTCATAACAAAAGTATAACTTACTTTCCTTATACCTCTTTCCTTACTACACTGGGAGTGTTGATACTGTAAGCAGTTAAAATACTTATACAAGTAGTTACAAAGTCTTCATTAACTTGAATAAATATGTAAAAGTGGTGAAATCCCTTTTTTAAGACAAAGGAAAAAAAAAAACCAGTAAACCAGTACAGTAAAACAGTTTTCTTAAATCAGTTTCAAACAAAAAACCAGATGTAATGAAGAGACCTGGGAATTTTGAATCAGCTGCAAGTATATTCTACCAGTAATAATTAGTAATTAATGAAGCTTAGTTATTAATGAAGATCTGTTCTCTTTTGCTATAAGCAGAGTGCATTTTCACATATCAAAGTGGATCCAATATAAGAGAGATGGCAGGAAGGCTGTATGATGAGAACCTCCTCCTCCTCGTATCTGTTCTGCTGGCGGATATATTTTATTTTACTACTTTTTTTTTTTTTTCTGACTCTCAAACTAGATTTGATCTACCTGTATAGACTGGGGGGAGAGCACAGAAGCACAGTACAATTTTCTAACCCTCTTCTTGACAGTCAACATCCAAACCCAGTGTCAAAACCTGTTGCATGTATGTCATACATGTCCAACAAATGCTTTGGGAGCCACTTGCAGCTTTTATGTACTACACATTTGATTCTTTGCAAACCTTCCTTTCTAATGAAGTCAGCTGCAGCTGGTCACCACTGGCATGGAAAGGAGCAGAAATCATAACCAACACCAGCCCTCTAGTCTAGCTGCTGGGTATTGAAATGTTAGGGTATAAGAGAATTTTGGTGCTCAAATAAATATTAGAACAGGAATCAGCCTGGCATCCTCAGAATTGTGGAGATTTGTAGATTAGTTTTTCATGTTAGTTTTGTATGTAGTTAATTGTATACTGTCTTGAAAAACCTGGATATGACTCCTGATTTTGCTAAAGCTTCCATGTCATTACATAAGAAGAGTGTAATTGGCACTCTTATTCTGGCTCGTAACTTTCTTTATATGAAGAAATACAAAGTATATTGAAAACCCATGTACTTGTGTGTTTTAGTGTCATCTCTAATGCCTGTAATAACATAGATGTTAAGAATATCTGTGAACTACACTGATATTACATTGATAATTTTTCAAGAAACATGACTTGTTTCCCTGCCTTTTGATCACTGAAGGTTGCTTACTTTTCCCACATGTGGAAGCAAAGAAGCAGCTAAGTCTGGATGCACTGGAGTGGTGGCTTCTGGATATTTAAAATCAGACAGGACTAGCAAAATGTAGTGGAATTGTAAAATCCTTTTTTCAGCTGCCTATCATGAGCAGAGTGGGCATGGAAAGTAGAAATAGATAAATCCAATATAGGTTTGTAATAGCAAAAGAATCACTTTCTTTCTCAAGAATATGAGACATTAAGAACTGTTAGATGATATCCCTAGAGTCATAACATTTATTTTTTATGGAATTGTTTTTTCCTCTTAGCTCACTCCATGTTGTTGTCATACTCCAAAAGAAATATCATACTGCCATATTCAGTGATATATTAGGAAAATGTTGAAGGCACTGTTGCTTATTTTAATTAATTACTTTTAATTTGAGAGGGCTGTTTTGTAATTTTTGCGGATTCTGCTTTCAGTGAATTTGCAGTGTTATGTTTTAACCATATATTTTCTTTTTTTCCCCTCCTTTCTTTTTTCTGTCTTATTTTCTCTTTCCTCTGTTTCTTACTTTGTGTAGGCTATTGTATTGAATATGATGTTCCAACTGATGAAAACAAAAACCCAGAAAGCAAAATCCTCTAGACATCAGCCCAAAGGTTTTCTAGGCTTACAGCCAGGTCCAATTCAAATACAACCCTTTGGCTGGCTTACATAATCACAGCTTTGTGATACATCTCATAGTCTTCAAATATTGATTTTTCTAATCTATTGGAGCAGGAGCTCAGTCCTACACAGTGCATGCAGAAGTATTTTTAAAGTGTGTTGTTAGAGGCAGTATATTCACTAATGAATAATGGACTGATCTGATAATGCTGCTTAGGAGATTTATCCAGGAGACGAGCTTGAAAAGAAAATGAGATGGTTGGAGATGTTTTTAACTTCACTGAGACTGCTGAACTTTGAGGCACTCCAAGGATGTCCTAGTTCCTTGCTGATGGCTTAGTTCCTCTTGTAGTTTCTCTGACATGTAATATTTTTACTCTGTCTTCTTGACTGTCTGCAGGAGTTTTGGGTGTTCTTGGACACCAGGAATTTCGGGTATTCTTGGGCTCTAATTTGATCTTTTTAGAGCAATTAAGCCTCACTTTTTGTAGCCCATTACTGATATTTACTGACTTTATTCTTCAGGTCTTTCTCTAAAAGGATTTATATTTTCTTGTTAGTATTATTTTTTTATTCCCCCCCCAAAGGAATCATGATGGGAAGAAAGAAATAAAGTTAAAAGATCTTTTAGAATTTTTGAATCCCAATGCTGGAAATGCAGAGTAGAGTTACTGAAGGGATTGCCTTTTCCAGAAAATATTCCACAAAATAATGAGAGCCTATCTGAGAGCATTCTTAAGTAGAATTGCTGTCAGATACATTTCCTCACTGATCACTCCATGGGATGCTCTATTTTCTCCCTTCCTCCAGTGGTGTCCATCCCTCCTTGGATGAGTTTGTTTCAACAATTTCTGACAGTGGGTGGAAACCATAATGAAAAAGCAAAACATTTACTAGTCTTTCTGGAAAGCATAGTTAATAAATCAGTTACTAACTCCTGGCCATAAGTCTTCACCCCCATTTTATTCCTAAATTCTGCAGGATCTGGGTGGTCAACTGTCTCATCTGAGAGTAAGGAAAGGAAGCATTGTTTATTGAATGCAGAGATATGAGTCCAAAGAGGGCTGTACTTAAAATAATCTGGAGGTACCTAATCTGTAGTCATATCATCTAATAATATTTTATTTACAGTTGATATCTCTGTACTTGTTCTGAACTAAAGGCAAGGAAACATTTTAAAAATCTGTTAATTCTCTTGACAGTAGAAACTTTTTTAAAAATAATTCTTCAGATGGATTGATTCTGATAGATATTCTGATTGCCTATTGATGCAACTCCTTTGCTGACTCTTTAATGTACTGGTACCTTGATATAAAGGAGAAGGGAGGAATCTTCAGAGAAAGACATTTCCAGTGATCATGGAATAAAACAAAATAGCACTGTATGCACTTGGGAGGAGGAGAGGATGCCTAGAAATATCTGGAACTTGGATTTCAAGCTGGTTTTGCTTTATGGTCACAAATTTCTTTTCTTATGTAAACCCTGTATTGCTAGAAGGGAAAAAAAGTCCTGCCATTCTTTCTCAGAAAGGAGGAATTTTTAATTTATTTTCTCCTGAATGTTATTCTGTTGCTCTTACCATAGTTAGGTTGCTATCTGTTAAACAGATTTGATCAGCCTAAAGCAAAAGGATTTTTTTTTTACTGTGATTGTAACAAAACAACAAAAAAAAAGTAGGAAAAATATTAATAAAAGCACTTCTGTACTGCTGCAAATATTAGAGGTATGTCACAGTAGAAGACCAAGCCATATCAATTGGCTCTTAATTGTTGATTGTGTCTTCCTTTAGGAAACAAGGTGTCACTGTTAGCATTCAAATTAATCTTTGAGTTGCTAGGTTTTTACTTTCAGTGTTAATTGTTCAGGGTAAATCAGGTAAATAATTTTGGTTTTTCGATATACCTTTTCAGGTACAAGTGTTTGGATTATATTCAGCAGAAGAGTTTCATGAAATGTTTGACTGTCCTATTAAAGTAAGTGCTTGTTTTAATCTTTAGTAATTGTGGTGGTGTTGTCTTTAATAACAGAAAGGTCACATTCAATATGAATGAGAGAGAGGAATACCACTTCATTACAGTGTTATTCAAGTCACTAGGAAATAGTTTTCTATCTCAATTTAAAAGGTTTTGATCTGGTTAGGTAGGAAGAAAGCCAATCTTGGTTTTGTATGAAGTATTATTCAGTTTTTCAAATACAAAAGGAAAGTGGAAGAGAAATTCTCCTGTTTCTGGTGTTGCGCATCTCAACATATTTATTTGTAGATTTTTGATACAAATTCTGAGGGTTTTGCTAAATGGGAGGTCAGTATTTTGGAACCAGTTCATATCCATTAAACCTGCCTCAAAATGAGGCAAAGGGCACTGATATTGATGTACCCTATCTGAAGGGAAAACCTGAATTTAACTCTGCTTTAGAGAAGTGTGTCTGCCTGACTGTTGGAAAAAGGACGTCTACTAGGCATATGGGAAAATCTAGTACTTCTTAACAAGAAACATTTCTTGTAGGAGGAAAGGTGATGTGGGCAAATGTTTGCATTTTGCTGCTTGGAGTCTTCCATGTTGCAGTTGTTCTTTAGGGTGTGGGGGAAAGGAATGAGATCAGTAAGTTTTCACACATGCTAGATGTGACTCACTTGCCTTCTAGGGTCTTTACTGCTCATACAGCTGGATCTCCACACTTGACATTGTAACACAATGAAAAGAAACTGTGTAAGATGCTACACAATGTTGTCCTGACTGGGCTGAGGTATGTGTGCCCTTCAGGCAGGCCCCAGACAGATTTAATTGGGGCAACACTTGCTCATAGCAGTTCTGTTCTGATTGGTCCTAATCCTGCAGCCTGCTATACAGAAAGGTAGCTGTTCAGTGTTACATGGCACTCAGTGTCATGCTTGTCATACAGCATATAATATGAAGAATTATCTTCTAAGAAAAACAACCAAGTGTTTGAAAAAACTAGGCTTTACTTCAGAGAAGAGCTCAGCTGTAATACTTGGTAATTGACAAAGGGTTATCTAGTTCAAAAAGTCATGTGGTGCTTCATGTAAACTCTTATTTAAGCCACAATTCTCGCTTTGCTTCTTCCCCCACCATCCCCAGATTGTTGCTGTTCATCCTCAGTTTGTAAGATCCCACTTCAAGCAATTTGTAACAGGAGGAAAAAAGGTAAGCATTCATAATGAACTTTGGCTACTTTTAAATAGCCCTTTGATATAGCTCAGAAGGCTATGTATGTGACTTTTAACACCTAGAACAAAGACTTCTGCTTTTTCCTTCTCTTTATGCATTGTATTCTAAAGCATTGTTAATTAAAAGTTATTTCAGGGGGAGAGAAAGTGCAATTTTTGTGTTAAAAACATGTTGCAAAAAGTTGAGATTCAGAGTAGAAATACCATTCTGTCTAGATAGCCTGAAAAACAAGTAATTTATATGTCCTGGGCCAGATTTTCTCCATTTTAACTTTTTGAAGTTTGACTCTAAAACTGATCTTTTACAAAGCATGTTGATCTTGGGTTACCTGTGGGTGATTTTTTGGGGTGGGGTTTTGTTCATTTGTTTGGTGTTTTATTTTAAGGAAATAAACCCAAGTATCTTCATCAGCTCTTGTCCATGGTGAGGGGTTTTGTTGGTATTTTTAAAATGAACTAAGGGGAATTCTTGGTATAGTACAGCTCACCCCATTCCAAGCCCTTACGTCTCTAGGTAGTCTTCTATTTGGATTCAGTTGGTGTTTTAAATTTGCATTAAGTATCTTACTAGTGTAGGATACAATTCTGACTTCCAGATTGCAGCTGTTTCCAGGTCCTACAAGTATCTTTTATCACATTGCATATTTTCAGTCAAAATATGAAAAGTTTTTTTGGAATGGTTTCTTAAATTCATGGAATTTTCTGTTGCCTTTTGTTAAGAATTAAGGAACAATCCTCACAGATGCGTCAAACCAAATTCCATTGCTCTCTCTTACCAGCACATAAACACTACAGGCTTCTAGTGCTGAATAAATCTTAATTTCCACTAACAGTTCAGTAATATGTTTCAAAGCATAGCTGTGCTTCATTTATTTAAGTGGTGTGTGTGCTTGACAGATTTTTCTGGCTGGTAGAAGTTGGTGTTGTCCTTAAAATAATGCACAGTCAGTGTGTGTCTGTGTCAGCCACCAGTTTGTGAAGCTTTTTAGTGCCGATAAAAGGGGCATGGAAGGAGAGAAACAAGGAATTAATAGAACAGGGCTCCGTCAGGTGGTAAAAGATCTTACATTCATCTGATGCCGAACAGAAAAAAACATCAGGGAGTTAACACATTCTCTTTGGTTATCTTTGATTACTTGACAGGTTGTTTTATATTCTGTCCTCTGGGGAATGGTATACTCATTCTTAATACATTCATGCTTTGCTGAGGAACTTTCCTCCTCAGAAAAACTTTAATTGACATCTTAACATAAGGTATTTAGCATTGAAGCAAATGTCACTTGACACCTGTAATTTGATTTTATTGGTACAGAAAACCAACAAATAAAGCCTCCAGCCTTGCACTAGAAGCCTTTCCTCCAAAAGGAGCATATGTATTCCTATAAAAGCAACAAAAAAAAATGCCTTTTGAAAATTCAGGAAGCTAAATTCCACCTAGTAATAAAGCACTTTTTTTTTTTTTTTTTTACATTTACACCTCTCCTTAACTATAAAGCCAAGGTGCAGTATGGAGGCAGCAGGCAACAGGCAGCTAACACAAGAGTGAGGAGAAGCTGGCTGAAGCATACAGCCTCAGGCTGTGGACTTCACTGCTCTCTCCCTGTGTCTGGGTGATTGTGCCTACTTAAGCAAAGTTAAGCAATCAAGGTGAGCTCCTTCAGGCAGGGGGACAGGTCCTCCTGTGACTCCTGAGGTCTGTGCACTTTTAGCCTTTGCATTTATACAGTGACTTCATCCCTGATAGCTGGCAGTGGTGGGAAGCATGTTGCCTGTTTTCCTCATCTACACCAAGGTAAGAGTAACAGTAAGAGTATCTTCATTTTGGAGAAAAGGTAAAAGAAAAGCTTTGCTTAAAGCTCTAATGCTATGCTGCTTGCCTGAAGTGCATTAAAAAACATAGTATGTATCATGTGAACTCTTAATCCAAAGGCTTGCTAGGTCTGTTTTTGTTTTTGCTTTCTGGAAATGGTGGCATAATGTATGTAAGCATTTTTAAAGTGGAGTGGGGTTTTTTGTTTGCTTTGCCTTTATTTTTTTAGAAAAATAATCTTCATAACAATATTAAGTGTGTAAAAATACATTTTTCAGTTCAAAGATCCACTCAGGGCATCCTGGAAAAGTTCAAGAGACGAAAAGGGAGAAAAGACCCTAGTGATATGCTTCAGGGATGCACAGTGCAGGTCCTCAGTTCCCTACACAGGTGGATGTCTGGAATTTGGGTGAATTGCTGTGTAGTGCTGGGATTTGCTACATCTTAGAATATCAGCCTGACCTAAAGTTGACTTAAGAGCAGTGCTCCCTGGGGTAACTGGGGTAATCATTGTGAATTGTTGTAAGCTTAGCTCTGCTGTACGTATGTTTATATGGTTGCTTAACTTTGCTTAAGTAGGCATATAGAGAAGCTCTTCTCTAAAATGTATTATGAACTAATTAAATTGTTTGGTTATTAAAGTATTAATTTTAGAAGAAAATAACTTCTATTAAACTTGAAATAATATTTTGGGTTGGTAAAGCTTATTTTACCCATTTTCCTGAGTGAATTAATATTATCTGTGCCTAGAAATAAGACCGGTACTGTGGAAATTGACAGTATTGCAGTGAGAAGCAATAGGTGCCATACTAAAAGGAGGTGCTTCCCTATTCCCTTCCTCATCTCTGCAATTAACCACAGCACCATTCTGCTGATTTGGCAGATGATGGTAGCCCTGAAATAATAATACTGTATACTGTAAATAATAGGGCATTTCTGTCCAGAGCAGACAATAGAGCTTCAAAGCAAGGGAAAAAACAAATACTGTGCTATTGAAGGCCATAACCTTCTACCTTTTAAAAAAGGCTCTAATCTCAAAAAATAACAGGGTAAAAGCCAACTAAATGAGGGTGGTAAAGCTGAAAACAAGGTGTTCTTGATTTAACTCTTAGAGTGCTGGTCTTTCATAAAACATCAACTAAATAAACGTTTTTGTGAAGTTCAAGTATCTGTTATGTCATGAGGGTTAAACAGACAGGACTAACAAAGAAAGAAGACTGAAGATTATTTCAGATGGAAAGTCAAGGTATCAGCTACCGTGACTTATGTAAAGATAATGAGAGCAGGACAAGTTGAGATTCCTCTCTTGGCAGAGACATCATCCCTATTAACGTCGATAATTAGATGTAAAGATTTTTGTAGTGAAACTCTGAGGAGAGTGAGTCCTCTGAAGTGATTGAGTCACTCTGCTGATTGTGTGCTAATGAAGGGATTTTTTGAGTCTTCTCTAGCATGGTAGTGGGGACCCAGCACAAATTAAGCAAATGTATTCTGAAGTATAGGAGGAGAATATTCTGTAGCATAAAGGACTAGGTCTCCTCATTTGCCTAGGACATACATTTTGTATAATAAGTATTGATTTGCATATCCAGTCAGAAACATTTTAAGGGCTACAGAACCAAAATAAAATTGCAGATTTACCCTGTGACTATCAACAGTCTCATCTCTCTATCTGTGTCTATCTACATAATATATTAATGGGGTTTTTTATATATATCTGTTGGAAATATATATAAAAACGTTTTTAGTAATGTCTGTGTTTCTTTTGCTGCAGAACATACACGATAAGAACTAGTTTTCAAATACAGATGTGTCTGATCATGTTTGTCTGTTTGTCCCATTTATCCTCCCAGAATTAACATTTAAACATATCAATGCTTGTGTTTAAACATTAGACTCTTTTTTCTTTTAGAAAAGCAGAGAGAACTTAGTGTTACCTGGGGGAAATTTCTTATTAAAAAAAAAACAAAACAAGCAAAAAACAACCAAACAAAAAAACCTATTTTAGTGTCAGAACTCTGCACCCATAGTAACTCTTGCCTGCAATGCAAAACAAGACAGTCTAAATTTCTTTCCACTCCAGGTGGATCAACAACATACACAGAGAAAGCATGGTGATAGCAAACAGTGCACAAGTGGGAAGAGAAAAGCATTGTTGGGGATCTGTGACTGCTGTTAGGGGTAGTGGAATCTGTATGTTAAAATCAAGTCTGCCAAGGAATGTCTCAGATATTTTTTTTAATTGTTGCTTTTTAGCGTCAGCAGATGCACTTTGCGTGGCGAGTAAGTAGATGACCTTACCTCTGAACCCTATGATATGTACTTCATAATAACTGAAGTACTTTGACAAATTATTAAATTGTCAGGATGCTGTTTGCAGCACAGTCCATTTTTAGAAAGCAGATAGTCAGCTGTTTGGCATTATGTTGGTAGAAGAGTACCAGACAAGAAAGGCAGATTGCTTTGTAAGCTATAAAATGTCATTTAGTAAATACTCAAAGGTCTGATTTAAGTGAAGAAGGACTGTGGCAATTTCTGTCCATACATTGGATAATTTACCATAAGTAGGAAACAAACTGTAGCAGCAAGCAAACCATACTACTGCTGGTCTGTTATTTCCTTGCTGCAATGCATAATGCCCAGATGTGTCCCATATTATTGAGCAGATGAGACTTTGATATGTAGTATGTCCTGTTTGCTTAATAAGCATATTTTTTTTTGCTTACATTTCTTCCTTATAGGTATTTGGATAGTGTTTCTTCTTTATCGCTAAAACAAAAATTCTTCTTGTGCTGTAATAAATTTGGTTTGTGTAAAGCAAATGGATCATAGTCCTATGTGCATGTAATCTATGGTTGTGTGTTTTACAAATGTCTGTGTAGAACTCTTTTTTCATTGCCTGAGGTGGCAAGCAAAGAGGATCTAAGTGTATGAATTGTGTCTCTCTCCCTGCAAGACGGCAGGATTTGCTTTTCGGGATGTTAATTCTGTAGCTTTTTGTGAATAGGCAACAGCTGGAATGTGGCAGTTGAGTTATTAAAAGTGAAGCCTAATAAAAGTCCTGTGGCATTTGTTTGTATTAAACATCTCAAAATTTCTAGCTTCTCTGACCATGAACTACAGCAGTAGCTCCTGTTTCATCTCTCACTGCTGCCATCACATACCTCCCGATGCTGCAGTGTGCCTCTGCCTCCTTGCTTGATTTCCCTTGACTGCATTTGCTGCCTTCCTCTCTGTTCACACCCCAGCTCCCTACACAACATTTTATGACGAAATCTTGAAAGCTCATCTTCAGCTGAAGGCTTGAGGCTTACATTATTCTCTGCCTTGTTTGAGCTCATTCCAGTCCCATTGTCTGTTTCAAAGTATAATTTTTTATTGTTCCTGTATGTTTTCCTAGGGATGAACAGTAAGTCTTCATGCAGCATGCTGTTCTGTGTTACTCTCTGGTATCTGTTAATCTTGGCTGTGCCTGTAAATATTTGTTTTATGCTGAAAACAATAAATAGCTGTAGTGATCACTTGTAACCATGGAAATAGCATTTTAGATTTTTGTGGTCTTGCCTAGCTGAGGTAACAGTGGTGACAGAGGCACCAAAATACAGGGCAAATGCCAAAGGTAGGCTCATCTTCACTCTTAGACAAAGAGCAAGACAAGGAAATTACAGGCACTTTTTTCCTAATTTTCATTTTGTGAAATAAAAATGATCCAAGAGTTCTGTGATAGGGAATGGAAAAGTGGCTCTTCAGTTACAAGTTGAAGACTTAAGCCTTTTTTTCTTCACTAAAACTTCTTCAAATCTTTACACAGAAGGCACTGTGTTGAAACAAAGTAGTGATGCTAGGCATCAAGTAAAAGTGTGTTTCCTTTGAAATTTCTGTGAGAACAGACATTTTTTATTTCAGTATATTGAAGCTAGTAATTGGTAGTGAGAATAAATGAAATTGAATTACTTCACCATGTTGATACTACTAAAGTTGCAATCATTCACCTCTTTGTTCAGAGGATTGGAAATTCCTGTACATAGTTTAAGACCAGGATTACATGTAATTAGTGTTAATGCTAATTGCATGACAGACTCCATTAAGTCCAAGCACTCATCTATTCTCTTTCATGAATGCGCTCTAAAATAGTTTTGAGCTCTTTTTGGTGTAGATTTAATCTCCTGTTAGTGAAAGATATGGAGAGATGTATTCACTAACCCAAAATGTGTATTCATGTATTCGCTAATCCACCTATTTTTTAAAACCAAAAAGTGTCCTGCTCCATCCTCTTGTCTCAAACATTCAGTGTGCCATTTTTCTTAATGATCTGGTGGGCAATCATAAGCAGTTAAGACTTGCAAAATAATTAATGAGCTGACAGAAGATTGCAATGTGCTGTGAAACTGTGGGTGGGGATCTTGAAGCTAGAGATTATTTTATTTTAGCTGTATTATCAAATTGTGGTGCATGCAAGATACACTGGAAGAGTTTTCTAAGCACAACTGTACTGTATGTAACAAAGGACTAGAAAGTTTTATGAAAACAAATGAAAAACAGGAAGAACAAACTCTATTGCAGAGAAGCCAAGAAAGTGGGATTTTGGCTGCTGTTGAAATATAAGTACTGTGAATGCTGACTACCATAACGTAGGATTTGTGGCAAACAAAGTCTGAAAATATTTTTCCCCTACTAAAAAGAAAGGGAGGTGGTTGGAAGAGTCCCTCTAGAAATTGTGGATTTCTTCTGACAAGTCTTTTGAAGTTTTAAATTACCTTCTAGTATGATCAGCATTTCAATGTGGAGACGGAAAGGAAGACTAAGAAAGAAATTAGGATGCTTATTTTGAGAGAGATGCTTTCAGTAGACAACAGTTCCAAAACAAATGGAAAAGTTCTGTGTTCACAAATTCAATTTCCAGGTGTCATTGCTCTAGGAAATAATAAATAAATCACAGTATGTATATCAACAGCACGCACATAATTGCACTGAAGATAATTTAGTTAAGCATGTTTTGAGATGGCTTATTTTTTTTTTTTTAAGTGACAGTGTGAAGTGCCCTTTGGCCTCCATGTTTGACCTATTTCAGTTGCTGATCTGAAGAGGGGAATGATAGGGTGTTACGTGATTCAATTTCTATCCGTATTATAGGTGATACCAGGCTGTTGGCTTCTACTGCTTTGATCTGAAAGTTTGTGTTCTTAGGTTTGAGCATAGATGGAAGCAGGATTTTTCAAATTATCTTCTCTCTTCACCAGTTCTTTCTCAGATCACTTAACTTTCCTTTCAGCTTGTTACTCAGTCACAAAAAAGCTTGATGTTCACAAACCATGAATAACAAAAAAGATGCAAAGTGTCATACCAAGTTGGCTCTGGATTTTGAGTATAATGAATTAAATTTAAATCATGATTTAGTCACAAGCAGAAAAAATTCCAAGTACAATTAATATAATCGACATCAGCTAGGTTTAACCTTCCACATCATCCACATCAGTTTTTGGATCTTTGTCCAGTAAGTCTCAATGCAAATACCATGTATTTTGCTTCTGTCTTTATTGCATGGTATTGAAGGAAGCATCCAAGCAGCAGTTCTTCTGTCCAACTTCTCCTTAGGAAAAAAGTAATTTTCAAGTCTGGATCATCAGCACTTAGTTTTTAAAGGCATCTTTAGCATTTGAGTGGAGATCATGCATTTGGGCTGCGGGCTGCTCCTATGCTTAACATCTACCTACTAGTCTTCTATTGGAAATCCCTCCATATAGCACTGACTTGTGAGTGTAGATGTTACACTGCTTTCAGTGGCTTGCCCTGGTAGCTTAAAATAATGTCTTCTGTGAGAGTTACTCAGTAGCTTTTTCATATGTGGGAAAAAAAATTTATACTGTCTAAAAGTTGGGCCTTCATGTGGCCTATGTGAAGGACACAAAATCACTTTGAATTAAAAGTTTGATGTCTGCAGTGCAATTCACACAAAAATTTCTCAATAGACTACCGTACCTAGTGCTTGCTTTAAATTATTGGAGAAAATACTTGTCTTCTGCTGCCATCTGGTGGCTTTAGGAGAGAGGCAATCTGATAATTGCCATTAAAATCTTGTATTTTGTTTAAAGATCATATTTTAAACAACTAGTGTCTTAACATTTGATGTATATATCCAAATACAAGTGGCAGGAAACCATATATAAAAAGTGCATACAGCTGGCTCTTAGATAGGAAATATTAGCAAGAAGAGTACTCCATTTGCATTTTAGCATGGTAGAAATCCTTGCAGACAGCTAGTTGACACCTTCCAGTGTGAGATGTGAGCTCGGGTTCAGGTTGTGCATATGTTCACATGTGGGTGTACTCATGCGAAAGTGATCAGGAGTGGTACCTCAGAGTATGATCTCGGTAGTTGCTTCAGCTTCTTACTGAGGTATCCCTCCAAGTAGCTGCACTTTGCTTCTCTCAGAGTTACTGCCTGTAACCCTATTAAATAACTTAATGAGACATACAAAATCAGAATGTTCTGATTTGGAAGGGACCCACAAGGATCATTTAGTCCGCCTTTTAAGTGAATGGATCAAACCTTCAACCTTGGCATTATTAGCACCATGCTTCAACCAACTGATATGGGCTGTCTTTCTGTGCAGACTTTCTGCGTGCAGTTGGGTTTTTCTTTGCTGCTGAAAAACATCTCATAACATCTTTTATGCTTTTAGATATTCTAAAATACCTTCCTTAGGAGCAGAACTTGACATTATCAGTCACACAAGTTTTACAATTAGCAGCACTTGTGGTATGGTGCAGTTTGCACATGTGGGACTAAACCACAGCATCTCTAGATCCCTGTGGAAGGCTGTGTAGTTCCACGTGGAGCCAAGCAAAAGGTCACAGACTTAGGGATCTTTTAATTTTCTTTGACTACCCTCTTTTTGGAGGGAAGGAGCCTATAACAAGATCAGTGGATGTCAAGATCAGTGAGGTGACCTGATTTCTTTAACAATTTTCTGAAGTGTTGTCACTAGTGCTATAGACTTAGGTTCTGAAATACCTTAATTTCTTTATCATTAAAAGGTAAATAATTATACTTACTGTTCTTTGGAGAAACTTGATAAAAGGCCTTCTTATTATTTTTAAAATTTAACTGGAATTCTGTAATATACAAGATGGCTTGATGTAAATATGTTATAGCAAAATGTTTGATTGTATTTGCTTTTGTTTTGTGTTAGATGTGTATTTTTCATTGCTCTTAAATCCAGAGTAAGGGATAATGAATAAAAAATAACTTTCATTTCTGCATACAGTACTGTGTCAAAGAAATATTTATTGTTGCACTTCTTCACAGTTGCTGTTATATGAAAGAAGTTGGATGAATAGATGGAAACCTTCGGTTTTACATGAAGGGGAAGGAAATATAAGAAATATAAAATGGAGAGGGCACTTAATTGCTTGGGCTAATAATATGGTAAGTATTTTTCACCTCCATTACGTGTACAAAAATATCTCTGTATTACACTGGTTATTGAAATTTTTCTCAATGCTAATTGCCAGAATATTTAGTTGAAAAACTGAATTTGTAGAAATGTGTATAAAAGGCATTGAAGGATAGTGGTTTAATATGTCATTTCTTTCTAGAAATTTCTTCTGTTGTTTTCTGCTGGTTAGGGGTCTACAATATGATTGCCATTTCTGAAGAAATTAGGAAAGTAGCTCTACCTAGCTACTGTGGTGGTCACTAATATACACTATTATTAATTAGAATTTTGATTAGTGCAATTTATTGAAGCAAACTGAAGAAGGAATGCGTATGTCATTCTTCTTTATATGAATAATAGAACATCTCCATTCCCTTCCACCCCCTGAAAAAAAATAAACTGTCCGGATTTTGTAATTTGTACTGAAATGACATTGCCATACGCACTTTCAATGTTGCAGATTATAAAAAAAATACAGTAATAATTTCTTATTTTGTTAGGCCAATAGAAAAAAAGTTAGAAGAAAATAGGCCCCTTTTGTTCTAAGTGTAATTTTAAAGGAAACCATTGCATTCATTCTGAGTGTTACATTTCGCCTATCACTGTATATCTAATTGATGGGTCAAGCTCTATGTTTTGCAGCTCAGCAGTGAGGGATATGATTTTAATGTGTATCATGTCTAAATTCCAAAGTATTTTTTAAAATGTGGTGGAAGTACTTCTGAAACACTAGCTTTTTTTCTGTTGTTTTTCCATCATAAAGGGAGGCATTTATTAAAATATTTTAAAGCCTTTGTTCTTTTTTATATTTCAAAACCTGTTTGATATGAAATTGTTAAAGTTGGACCTTTGTTTATTTGCTTCCCTTTAATAATTCCATTAGAATAGAAGCTTCATTGAGGGCTTGACTGATATAACATTAGGTTATTTGAAGGTTTTGTTCTTTTCAGATACATACAATTAAAATACATATTCTAGGTATCTGCTGGGATGGACAGGACAAGAGCTATCCCTAGAGATGATGTGCCACAACAGAACACAGAGTACTAATAAAACATTGAGAGCCATCTGTCAGAGACAAAAAGCCATGGTCAGGGCCTATCTTTCAAAGAAAAATGAAATTACACTTGCCCTCCAAAAGATTAATATATTTGGTTATTGCCCTTTCTCTTCCCCTTTAACTTTTTAAACTCCATTCTCTAGCAAGGTTTTGTGTTACACTATTTTTTCCCCAAATCAGAGAAAATGTTTATAGCTGTGCTTCTTACTGTGTGTGCATGGCTACCTTGTTTTTATATTTAGGCAAGGTCTAGTTCTGCTTTTCAGATGCATAGATAACCTGTGTTTTCTGCTATGCCCTCTTCTTCTTCCTCCATGGCTAGTAGTGCAAGTTTTACTAACTGAGACATCTGAGGGACAAATTTTTAGAGGCATTTGGCTGCTGTATACTCCCATTTGGACAGGTTTTAGCTCATTCATGATGGGAAGTTGACTCTGAACGTCCTTTCAATTCATTATGCAAATAGCATACTTGTTAGAGGAGAAGCTAAAAGGATTCTCACACCATTCAAGGAGTTACATACGCACCACCCCACACTTTAACTTACAGGACTGTAGTCCTTTTTCAGTGGGTAGCTCCAAAGAGCCAACAGGGGCCCTTTTGATTCCTTTCTCACTTGTTGTGCACCTGCTCACAGGCAGAGCATGGGAGAACACATAGCAACAACTAAAACATCAGCGAGTCATCAACAATATTCTTACAGTAAATCCATAACTCAGCACTGTACCAGCTACTATAAAGAAAATTAATTAATAATTATTTACCAGCCAAAGCATATCTAGGTGTAAGTTCAGAGCTTACCACCCAAGACTTCAAAAAAATCCAGCTACTTATGCTAAGCAAGTAAACCTCAGCAAGCAATATACTATATTTTGCAATATTTTAACTCTAAATTACTTACTCTTATGTAAAACTTACTATATTAAACAACTGTCTCTCAACACTTAAAACCAAAGAAGATCCTACACTATTAGTTTGAAAGCTACTTCAAACAGGAGCTGGTCTATCCCATATAAGATTTTCTGCCATGTAGAAAAACAGAAGGTGTGGTATGGGTCACTAAAAATCATCCTTGGAGACAAAGTAGTAAGATTTATAAAAAGCAACTTTATTAAAATGCAATTCAAGCAAGATGAAAAACCTTTATCAGGTGAGCTTAGAAAACACAAAGGATAAGATTGTGTTACCTAGAGATCTGGGCTCTCTACATTGTAGATGTTTTGGTAAGTTTTTGTTTGTTTGTTTGTTTGTTTTTGAAAGCTTGATGTCTGCTAGCTGATAAGATGCTAGTGGAAGTGTGTTTCATGTTCACAGTTCTTCAGTGACAAAGATCACTGAAAAAAAATACCTGCACCCAGCCTCATACCACTTACCTCGTGGTTAAAAAAAAAAGGCAAAACCTGGCTAAGACCATGACCCCCCCATGACTTTTAAACAGTTGTATCTGTGTATTTGTACAGCTGAGGACATGAAACTCACAATGCGGTTTTGCTACTAGGAAAATCCTAACATGGCATGGCATCATGGTTGTTGACCTTTAAAGGTTTTTTTCCATCCCCTTTCTTCTGTGATTTGAAGACTCATTCTCTAAGCTCTATGAGCAGAAAAGAAGTCCCTACTAAAATATTTTATTTTAGAGACTTATGTTTTAAATTACCAAGAACAAGTCATTACTTAATATGAAATTAACCTTCATTTTGCTATTGTCTAAATGATACAGAAAAATCTAATTATTGGTTCTTGTTTTCTCCTGTCTCTTGAAGGACTTTAATCTTCCTGGTTTTTGACTTCTTGTTCTATTAGTTTAGGAAATTTCCTGAGGTGGGAGTAAAAAAATCAGAGCATACAAAACCAAGCATTGTTTAAATATGTTCGGTTTTCTGTTTTAATATAATAGTTGAACTGCATATCTGAGACTGAATTTGTGTATCTTAATCAGCTGTTGCTTTTCTTTTTCCAAGGTGGAAATTTCTGTGTCTCTACAGGGACTGTTGTGAAAAGGCTGGGATTCTTTTTATTTCTCCAGGAGTAGCACCAGCCCAATAAGCTAAACTAGTTCATGGCTGGAATTGCTAGTCTCATTCACTTATTATGTCTTTATTTGGCTTGTGAATTTGAATTTGAAACATCTAAATTACTCTGATCCCTTTACTCCTTTTGTCACCTCCTGGGTTAGACGGGTTTTGTATCAACAGCTTTTTCTGGTGGCACACTCAGCCCTGCTCTGAAATTTATGCTATAAACTGCTCTGACTGCTTTTAGCATACAAAATGGCGAGTAGGAGTTTGTCATACCCAATAAAGTTCTCTTGTTTTTGAACTTTCAGGGCGTGAAGATACTTGACATGATCTCCAAGCAAAGAATTACCAATGTGCCTCGAGATGACATAAGCCTTCGCCCAGATATGTATCCCTGCAGCCTTTGCTGGAAGGATAATTTAACACTGATTATTGGCTGGGGAAATTCAGTAAAGGTACAATTACCTGTCTTTGTAATAAATGCTTGCTGATATCACAGACATACAGCGGATTGTTTCTGAAAAGTAAAGGACAATCGAAAAAAATAGAATTTGGTTTGACCAGTGTTTAGAACTCTTGCTACCTTAGAAATGTCATTGGACTGACCCTCATGAGGAGGAGGAGTGATAGGCACCCAGTGGTCAGACAGATCTCTGTGTGAGAGCATGCAGTGAATGTAATCCTCAGGGACGTTTTACTCCTTGGAGAGATTTTGTATTTTGAAAGCTTTTAGTATGCTGTTGAGGTAATTTCTTTGGATTAACATTAAGGAAGAACAAGTTACTGTGAGATATTTCTGGAGGGGATTGATTTGGGGGCTGAGGAGGTTACATCTGCTAAAACAGCCAAATGATTTTGGACAACTGTGGGGAAAAAAAATGGATGGGTGGAAGGACAGACTGCTTAGGGTTTTGTTATCTTTCAACAAGAAACTGGCATTTCAAACTTGTGTGGTGCAGCCTGGTTATCATTTGCTCAGACCAGCACATGACATGAGTTTGTTACAAGCCTGTTAGCTGTTTTCTAATAACAGACTGAGCTGCATCACTGCTCAGTGAGAAATTAAAAGTGCCTGATAGGAATAGATGGAAAGGGGGGGCGGAGTGAGTAGAAAGCTTTTGGAGCGTTAAGCTTAGAGTTTTATAAATGAGGAGGTTTGTCCTAAGTTTGGCATCTGTCTTCCCCCTTCTATTTGCCTGTGCTTCACAATATTTGTTTCTCTGCATTTCTTTGTATGTGCATACTCGCCTCTTGTAACCGGGAGGAGTAATAGCAAATTTACTGAATAAGAATCAGATACCTTGAAAGGTAATGAGACACCAAGTGTGAGAAGACACCAAAACTAAACTCATAAACAAATGCTTCTTTGAAGAAACCATAAGGGGCATTTTCACATTTCTTTTATGTGGTCCTCTCCCAGCGTATTTATAAGGCTGTGAACTACAGCCACTACTTTCCTGTGTGGTTTTCTTTATTGATGCATCATTACTGTTTCACAACTTGTGTTTTCCAAAATAAAGACATACATGTCCGAGAATTCCCAGAAATTGCCTTTCTTATTGAGGCAACGTTAGTCTCATTTTAGGAATTGCAGCTTCATTATTGTGACAATTCAAATCTTGTTTCCTAGATTTGCTCAGTAAAAGAACGGCATGCCAGTGAAATGCGTGACCTACCAAACCGCTACGTGGAAATAGGTATGGTAGTATGAATTCACTCCTTTCCAAAAAGCTTTAAAAGTCTTCTACATTCTAGCCAGAACAAAACTGTTACACTTTGGAGGCAACATGTAGTTGTAACATAAATGTCTCCTCATTTTTAGTTGCTGAGGTCGTCATAATGCCCTCTTGCTTAGGTGTGAGGTTTTTTTTCTGGAGAGCCTTAAGTTCTGTGATCATCTAATATCAGAGATACTTGTGTGAACAGTGGATGCCTTAACTTTCCCTTCATACAGATTCCTTTAGAGAACTTGAATTTTAATCTTGGTTAAATGATTGATGGTCATTGTAGCAGTAAAGAGAAAATAGATACTACTTTATTTGATTATATGTTGTTTGACTACACTACTCATAACATTTTTCTCTTCTTTGTTCCCCCATAAAAATCTCTGGTATAGTGGTAGGAAATTGATTTTAATTTATTTTTGTTTCCTTTCTTGACTTCTGAATTTTATATTTTCATTTGTTTTCTTATTTTTCTAGCTAATCTGATGTGAATAAATTTTTATTATTACTGATTATTGGAAAAGTTCTTGACAAAGTAAAGTGGAATTCAAAGAAAATTTGGAAGGGAAGTGGGGATGTAAACAAAAAGTCACATCTGTCCCTAGAAGTGTGTGCTGGGGAAAGAAGTATCTAGGAACAGATAGTGCTGGGAAGATAAACAGGCCCTCTGATTCTGCAGACCAGAGTGGACAACTGTAGGCTTTGATGCTCCCTTGATTGTAGTAACATGAGATTGTAGATAAGGTGCTCAAGCAAGATCCTGAATTATGTCAGTTTGGAATGGTGTATGGCATACGTGTGTGTATGCTCTGTTTTCTGATTTCAGGAAAGGGCTGTTCTAAAATAGCTTCTGAAAATCAGCTAGGAGACTTGTTAAGCTCTGCAGGCAGTCTGAATACTGAGAGATTGGTGATGTGCCTGAGAATTAACTGAGACCTGAAAGCTATTTGTTGTTTAGGATCACATAATGCAAACAGACTATTTGACTGCAGAATTCTAGGATATTTGCAATAATTTTATCAAGGAAAAGTTTGGTCATGAATTTTAGCCTCAGATCTTGTATAATATTTTCTGTACCTGTAAGTAGCTTTTAGAAAATAACTAAATGGGTTTGGTCACATACTGACAAGTAAACAGAGGTAACTTCTATTTCAGCTGTAATGTGCTTACATGGATGGTGCTACTATTTGGTGACTGTCTATTGAAATTTGATTAAAAAACATAAAAGTTTTCATTGGGCTATTTAGGTGAAGACATACAGGGTAAAGATTTACATGGAAGTAACTTTTTCATCTTAAAATTTCTGGCCTGCAGTTTTCTCTGTAGTCTAGAGGACTGGTATTTTATCTCACTTAACCTGTTAATCATGTGCTTGAGATTTTATTTTCTGGTTTCAAGTCAAAGCACTGAAATTGCTCTGCTAAATGCCATCCACAGCACTCTAGAACTTGGGAGGATTGGGACGGAAAAGAGAGAGACATTGCTTATTCAAGTATAAATTAATAGTCTTTCATATAGTCACATTGAAAGTCTTCCTGACTGCAGTATGTCATGCCATAACATCTATTTCAATTTTATTTCATCATTACTTTTCAAAGGTATAGCTGGAAAGTCTGATCTTATATCAGGCCTGCAACCAGTATAGTATTTTTTGCAAAACCACTAATATCCAAAGTGGATGCATAAGTTGATATACTTGCATAAAGTAAAGAATTTATACAAGGCAAGAATATAATCCTTCAACGCAAGGACAATTGAATATCCTTCAGCTATTTTGACTTATAAGATCTTGTCAACAGACTTAGGAAAAGCGAAACCCTTAACACAGTATTACTTTTGTCATGTTTAGTGGTGTGGTGTTTATTAATTTTTTTCTCCCTGCTTTTACAATTTTTCACCTGGAAAGAAAACTATGAAGTGGAGCAGGAAACTTCATAGTTGCTTCTTTGGTTATCAGGGTAATACAAATGGAGTCTCTGATAAAACAGTATCCTGTCATGTGTCAACAGTTTCAGGTTTATGCTGTTTCAAAGCCATTCTGAGGGCCTCTGAGTCCATGGTGGTATTATAGAAAACTGTGATGGCATTAGTAGATAATAAATGTTTCTTCAGTACTTTGCAGTCCAGTAAATAAGGAAACAGTATTTCCTGCATTACAATTTACGTGCATAGGATCCTCTTTAACAAAGTACCTCCTCATCTTCTGTTTCTGTCTCAAGAATTACCTATACTTACTCTAAGGTGGGAAATAATTACAGTATCTGCTGTGATGCTAGACCCCACAATGTGTGAAAGTTACACCATTGAACTGTTCTAGCTGTTTTGTCTTAAGGAAGATAATGGTTTGATTATCTGTAAGAAAAAATAGATTAATTATACAGGTCTCATGCACTGAGATCCATGTGGCATTGCTAATTTAATTTCCATCTTTCAGTATATTAGTGGTACTTTTCTTCAGTAATCTTGCTATTGTTCTTGCTACAGTTCATTACCTCTGTGAGTCTTCATTCAATGTCAAAGATAAACACCAAGTGAGTGTTTCTATTTAGGTTTAAACGTATGTTAGCTGAGCAGATCCTATCAGTTTAGCTCTGTCAGCAACTGCTGTGAAGTAGTGTATTGATTAGAAAGTATTGGTATTGAATTACAGGCTTAACGTGGACTAAATGCCATTGTGATCCTTCTTAGAGAGTGCTTGACCTCTGTGCTCACTCCTGAAGCATGCACAAAAGCTGTAATGCTGCACAGCTTCTGGTCTGAACAGGGAACCCTTCCTCAACTGGAACCCATGAGAAGGCTCCTTGCTAAATAACTAATTAGCCTTTCCAGTTAATATAATGCCTTTTCAAAGGAAAATAGGTAATCTAGTCTTCCTTAGCCTTGTCAGGATTTTATATACTTTTATGGAGAAGTACTTTATCTCTTCCTCAGTTACTCAGGTTGTTAATGATAGCAGAAAATAGAGATTAACACCAGAAGTATGTAAAATACTTCAAGCTGATTAGAAAATTTATATCCAATTTATTTTTGTCTCGATTTTATCTGAGGAATTTCAGCTTAATTTCAGGTACCAGTCAGGCAGTAATGTCTCTTGTATACTTGTCTCCCTTTGCATTCTACCAAATTTCCCACAAAGCAGATTTCTGGTTTAAAAATTACATGTTTCAAGGTACCAGTCAGGCAGCAATGTCTCTTGTATACTTGTCTCCCTTTGCATTCTACCAAATTCCCCACAAAGCAGATTTCTGGTTTAAAAATTACATGTTTCAAGGCTATGCTTGTATCAACACATCTGTGTGTTTTACAAGGGGATAGCTTCACACCTGCATGGCAAGTTAGCATCATGCATTGGGATTGCACATTTCAATCTGAATACAAGGTAATATTGAATTTTTTTTTTGTTTGTAAATTGACATTAGTGGGATCTAATGTACTGACATATTTCTCTTTATATAGATGGAATGTAAGACTTAATTGATGAATGTGATGATCAGGAAATTTACTTCACAAGGTGATTTATGCAAATATTTCGTTGAAGCAAGTCTGCTATACTCTGAGAAGCCAAAATAAAAAAGAAGAAAAAACCCAAACCTAGTTATATAGTTGATTCTTCTTAGAATTTTGTTCATCTGTTTTGCCACAAACCAAACCTATAATTTATAAATTCATTCATAAAATGAGTCAAAATTCTACAAGATTTTGACTTCTTTGTCATCAAACCTCAGAATTTCTAGGCCCCAAAATTCTTCAAGACTGAATAGTTTTCCTGTTGGTTAGCAAAGTTTTCTTGATTCAATGGAAAAAAAGCATTTTTCAGAAAATTGGCTTTGTAGCTTAAGTGATACTTATGTGGGGCCTTTTCTTGTCCTCTTGTTGGAACAGAATTCACATACTCTCAGGAAAAGAAAAAAGTTGTATTTTACATCAAGTGCAACTCTATGCACAAGATAATAGCTAATCAAATCATGCCATTTTGTATTCTGTTTTGGTTTGCATAAATTGCATAGCTCACTAAAAACATCTGCAAAATTTGTATTCATTGTTACAGGTCACAGTGCATCATACCCTTGAGTTCTCAAGATGGTATCTCCACCACCAGTGCTTTTAGGTGAAATCAGATGTAAAACCCTCTGACTGTAACCAAAGTTTTACTCTTCAAAATCTGTTGTGGTAAACCAAGGGCTGCTTTTAGAGGTTTGACTGAACAATATAGACTCCTTTTAGTTTCAGTGTGTCACATACGCATGGATCTTTAAATCCCAGAGAAAGTGGCTTTATACAGTTTAGGTAAATATTGTAGCATATATAGTTTTATTTCTGTATTGTATTTTGGTGTATGTCATACATTTCATTTAATGAGTAGCAAAAAAGATTTACAGGTTTCTTAATTTTGCTTCCAGGTAATTTATTTGACATCTATACATAGATGCTGAACATGGAGTAGATCCACTGTCAGCCTGTCTTCTGTCTTCTCTTATGAGAGGCATAAACATGTATGACACATGGCCATACCTCAGTCATTTCCATTTACTTCAATTCTACATTTGTTTTAATTATTTTGGATCCTTTTCAAAATAACATCATTTCTGCATTGCCTTTATGTTGGATTTCTTTTCCTCCTTGATCACAACACAGTGTCCAGAGAGTAAGTCAATTTAACCTATTATTGTTCTGTGCCACTGTAACTTCCATCTTCTTTTTTCAGTAAGACTTTTTTGATTAGCAGCATCAAAGCTTTTTGTCAGGTCAAGAAGCACTGTCTATGCCAGTTATTCTTTGTTCAAGGCTGTAGCTGCAGAGGTAGAGCATTGTGTTTCAACAACACCTCTTGAGAAAGATGAGCTAAGTAAGAGAAAGCTGATAGTGAAACCAAGGAAACTATATTCTACTCAAAAACAAAACTTGAAGTGGCAATTTTTACTTGTTTGTTTATTTGTGTTTCACAGATTAGTACTTCTGCTTGATCTTAAATACACCATTACATTGGGCATTACAAGCATTTTCACTGGAAAAAAGGCACTTAAGTTCTAGTATAAGACAAAGAAACACACATGGATTTTAGAGCTGTTTCTATAATCATTATAAATGATAATTCACCTTGCTGTTTTCCTCTTCAAATACAAACCACAGTATTTTACATGCCTTTGGGAGCCTTCTCTTGGCCCTTCTATAAAGCTGAATTTAAAGTTGCTTTGATAGTATTATGGATTTCACTTTGTTGTTTATTTTCCATGTTTCTTCTCCTGCCTTCCAAATTATTTTTAAATGCTAAATACTAAATTTTAAACTGAGAATGAGGTATGTAGTTAGTTTTGAACTGATTTGTTTAAAATCATCACTGAGAGTAACATGTGACACAGTCAAAGTAATCTCATCAGTCTTGTAGGCTAGAAAAATATAATTATGTACATGGCTACACATGTGAACCTCTTTTCTGCGAGTGGATTGAGTGCTCTCCCCTTGTGCTGTAGTGTGGTCCTTCAGTGATGCCAAAGTGTCAGCAGTCATTGAAGGAAAAACACTGCTTGGTTATTTGTTGAGAGACAGGTGTCAAATATATACTCTGTTTCATTGTATTTTTTCTCCTTTTGTGGGAGGACAATTATTTCTCTTGTTTCTTCTTATCATCTTAGCTAAAGAAAATCAGCTTTATTTTTAATGTCATTATGCTGTATTTTCTGTTTACCTCGTTAGTAAATTTTAATGTATATATATATTAGTAGTGTAATATGCTAAACAGGAAGGAAGGAAACTTTTTATTTCTTACTTATGCTTAGATTCTCCTAAAACCATGTTTTGGAGAAACTAATGAAGTATCTGATGCTTTTTTAAAGGCTTATAGTTACAAGGCCTGCTAATGTAAACACTTGGATGATTCTTGTTTTTGTCCCCATAAGAGAGGAGCTCACAAAAAGTGGTGCACTGTAAATCCAGCAGAATAAAAACAAAGAGGTGTTTCTGTGACAGAGGTCTCATTTATTAAGTATTTTAGTAAATACAGTTCAGCACTCTATTTTTCTTTCTCTTTCTCAAAATAAACTCATGTAACTATCTCGATTTCAAGACCAATTCCAGAAAATTATATTTTCAGTTTTATGAACTAGAAACTATGAACTGTGTTTTCTTTGTAATGAGTATATCTGTAAATTACTCTATGATGTTTAAAACGATGATAAATAAATAATGATCTTTGTGTTTTCCTATATACCAATAAATGCATCAGGTGTGATTCTCTTATGGCCACATGAACATGCTGTGAATATGCAAACCAATGAAGTTGTACTACTTATTGCTTGTTTTATTGGGTTTGATTTTTGTTTTGCTTCTTTTCAATGTGATTACTGAAAATCAGACTACACCTTCATTTCAGATGTTTCATCTGTAACATATCCTGGAGCACAAAGATTTCCTTTTGCAAGCTTTAATGTAATTTTATCTGTTAAATGTAAATCTTCGTCTGATCCCTCTGGGAAATCTCTGGGTTTGTTACATGTGTTGAGTCTTCTATTCTCTGAAGTGGTGCTGTATGCTGTTGATTGTCTCTGAAAATCAGTGAGTTTTTCTTAGGTAGTAGTTCATAAACATTCATGTTTTTAAGTCTGTTCTTCTTTCCTGTATTTCAGTTTTCCAATTTGACACCGAATTCTACGTCAGTGGACTTGCACCTCTCTGTGACCAGCTTGTTATACTTTCATATGTAAAGGAGATCTCCGAAAAAACGGTAGTTTTTTTAATCTCAGAGTTTCTTCACAACATTAATTTGGCCCGTGAGTTGGGCCTTAAACTAGTAATACAAATATGATTATCTGAGAAAAAATTTGTAGTCTGCTGGTAGTAGACAGGGCTTGAAACATCTCTGATCCATAAAACAATGTCAGTGGAGGTAATGTTGACTAATGTCAAAGGGACATTAGTCAACATGTTGGCTAAAGGGAAGATTAATGTGCTTCTCTTTCAGGAATCATGTTTGGGTTTTTTTTTTCCTTGCAGAATGCAGAGAAAGTCTCTAGCTAGTCCTTCTTGCTCCTTTTTCCTTTCTTTCTACCCCCCCCCCACCCCTTTTCTCTCCTTTTCTCTTTCTTCCTGATGTTTCTGCACCAGAAGAAATAAAGAATCTTGTTTGACCATAAGAGGAGCTTGCTGACACTGCATCTCAAAAGAAATGAGAACACTTGATCAACTCAAGCATAAGAGTGACTGTGGGGTGGAATGTATGATTGTGAGCAAGTGGCATCACTGTCTCCCATTCTTCTAAGATTTTTTGTTGTGTACACCCAGATCCATGTGTGAAGAGGTAGAAATTGGAATTCATGTCAGCCATTTTTACTGTGCATGGACAAGTGCTGTGTCTGTCTCCGACATTGATTTCATATTGCCAAATAAAGGCAACGCAGTGGAGGAAATCCTTGAAGCTGCAGTGTGAGGATGGCAGATGCCCTTGATCATCTCTTTGATAAGCATGTCTGCGTTAGACAATCATCACCATAGTAACCTTAAGAAACTGGGTGCACAAGTTGCTAGGCAATGAAATGCTCTAGGTTCAAACAGATGCACGAGCCTTCTGAAATCAGTGGGGTTAGCTTCTAGTTCTACTTCAGGATGTCAGATTATTATTTCTTTATTTATATTAAGGATAAAAATAATGTCAGAGCAATTTTTCCTAAAAGAGACAGCACAGTGTGGGAGAGTCAGTGCAAGACAAGAAAGCAGACAAATGGGATAAGGAAGGGGGAGGAAGAGGTGGGTTGAAATGCAAGGGAGCAAGGAAATTGGGATGCCACTGTTAATGAAGAAGTAGTGCAGGAAAGGAGCTAGTGTAAATGAGGTCATTTTAATTGCTTGAGGAAAGAAAGATGAAAAGGGAATTTCAGGTGATATAATGGTAATTGAACATAGGAAAAAGTTTTTCTCCTGTATTTGCCTTTAATTAGCCTTTTAAACTCCAAATGCTGGACTTCACTAACTTCTCAGTTCTCTGGGTAGCTGTAGAAGGAACAGAAGTACAATTGTCCCTGATGGTGTCCTGTTGTGATGGGAACTCCTTTGTTAGTGTCTTAGTTCACTTGTCTTGTTAGAGTGGAGCCCAAACTGCCAGAACTTGCAGCAGAATTGCTGCTCACTACAGAAATGTCCTTTAGTTGCAAGGAACACTTGTCTTCCTACGCTTGATTTCACAGCTTGCAAATTACAGCTTCTTACTTATTACAAATTAGATCACAATTGAACTTGCTTTGAAAGTTTTTTTGGTTTGGGTATTTTTTTCCTGGAACAGTTAAATTGAGAAATTTTTATATGTTCTTGCTCTTTTATTCTGTATCTTGCTATAATTCACAGCCTGAAGTAGAAAATATAGGACTATCTTGGACCTTGACTTAATTAAAAATGCAGTTAGTTGAAAACAGCAGTTTCACTTAGAAAGTGAAAATCCATTATGTCAGCTTACCATAGCCACCTACATTGCACTTGAAAGTTCATTTTACTCTAAGTTCATTAGAACAGCAAAGTTTTTGTATTATTCTCAGATTAATTTTTCCCTGCTGCTGCTGGCCGCCTAAAATAAAACACCAGCTTAAAAAAATTTATTTTATTACCATAATACCAGACTCAATAGAGCTCTGTCCTTCAGGGCATGAGCCCAGCTGGGTATGTGTTCTAAACTGTTGTGTTGCTTGTTGAATGAAGCAATTGATAGTCATCTGTGGTAGCCCTGAAAAAGTAGTGAGCAAACTCAGGGTAGGATTGGACCTCCTCCTCCAGACTGATTTCCTTCAAGGAAAGCAAAGAGTAACTTGGATTACTTGGAGTAACTTTCCTTGAGTTCCAGATGCAATTACTCTGTGCAGCACAGCTTTGCAACTTGCATGATTTGCAGCTGAGTAGCCAGTGCAAAGTACTGGCTTTGTGAATGTTTGCAGCTGTTAAATTTCAGCCTTGTTTGTAGATGACCACCAGTTGGTATTGGTAAGGTAAATCATGTAGGAAGTGACTAAGGTGTCATTTTTCTAGGAAGTGGAGTGTTGTGCAAGACCTAGACTTGATATTGTACAACCCCTGCCTGAGTCCTGTGAAGAGATTTCTTCTGATGCACTAACAGTACGAGGATTTCAGGAAAATGAATGTCGTGATTATCACTTAGGTAGGTGTTCTCAATATTGTTTTGTCTTGTTTTCATACCTTGCTTTAAAACAGATTTAGGTGTACTTAGCCTCCTTTTTCATTTTTTTGTCATCTCCATGAATAGCTGTAACTGCTTATTGACACTGAAGGGCAAAGTGGAAATCCACAAGAACCAGTTGTATGAAAGAAAAGAAATGTGTGTATTTAAACATAATGATTTTTAATGCCATCTATTAGGTCAGACCTACTGGAGAAGGCAGAAGTATATACCTGTTATGTAATGTCCAGTATTGTTGAAGGCCATATCTTTGAAGGAGATTTATTTAACATATGATCCATATGAACTCTTTTTACACAAAGGGCTTCAGGAATAATGAAATTTGTGGCACAGTGTCTGGAAAAGCTGCTTTAGAGGGAAAGATTGAATAAGTATCATTTCAACAGTAAGGTGTACATGGCCCCTTAAAAGGGGCCCACTGATATTTAGCTTCCCTGTACTGACAAAGCTACCAGTTATATTACAGACCTCAAAGGGTAAAATTAAATTAATAGGAACTGGATTTTGGCAAGCTCCACCTAGAGGATAGGTGTATATAACAGGAAAGGACATGAAGCCCTGGCACAATATATGCCATCTTTTAAACATGGGATAGTTTTCTGATCTATATGTTGTAGCTCAGAAAAATGCATGGCAAAGCTGATGGAGAAGTCCTTGGTGAAGATTATGTAGCCTGTGTTATACAGAAACATTTCTTCTGGCTTTTAAAATACATTAATCTGAATTTTAAGTATCTCCTCTGGCAGCATGCTTCAAATCATAGGCTTGGCAAACCTCTTTGTGTACATCTATGCCCTTAAGCCACTAGAAATATAGTGTATCTCCTCCTGACCTCAAAAACATCGATGCTGCTATCAGTAGAATTGGGGTTTCTTTATACATCTTCCAAAGCAAAACAGCTGTACTTTTATGCTTTATGAATATTCTAGTTTGCCTGAAAAATCTAAATGTTTTGTATGGTTTAAGACAAGCAGTATTTTGTGAATTGTTTATCATTTCAGGAGTGTATTTGTATGTGTTTATAGAAAATGATCTGAACAGTGAGTGGTTTTCTATTCTGTACCTACAAAGTATTCATGTTTCTTCATGTTCTGTCCAAATGATAACTATTCAGAGCAGTCATCTTCTGCATTTGATTTGACCTTTTAGTATTTTTTCTTTGAGCTTACTCAAAAATAAAGGCTTATGGTGTAAGAAAATGCATTATACATATAGCCTTAACTTTCAGCATTGTAAATGCATTGCTGTAATGATGTACTGTGTCCCCAGGGGTTATGGCATCTATCATTTATGCTTTTGATGGCCTTGACCTTGATGGGAAGGATAAGTTTATTGCAGGCTGTGTAGTGTAATGTCTTCTAAAAGTGTAATAATGGGTTCTAAACCATCATAAAGTTTACACATAGTGGATGAATCAGAATTTGCAATAAGTTGTAGTGGTTTTTTGAAATATATTTTGCCATTTAAACCAGTTTTAATTTATCAGAGGATACAGCATCCAAACTAGTGTGTCCTGCAGGAGTGGCATTGCTGTCTTCCTTGCATCTCCTCTTTTTAAATTCCCCTCAAGGGTATGCTAAAAAGCAGAACTTGCAGAAAATATAATAATAATAAAACTGTGTGTGCATTTGCAGAGTATTCGGAAGGTGAATCACTTTTTTATATCATCAGCCCAAGAGATGTGGTTGTGGCCAAAGAGCGGGACCAAGATGACCACATTGACTGGCTTCTTGAAAAGAAGAAATACGAAGTAATTTTTACATCATTCTTTCCTTCAGACTTTCCTTGTTTGGAAATTGGAGTAGGATGATGGACTTTGCTAGGTCATTTGGATTGGACCATTTCTGTTCCTACAGTCATAGACTAAATGCTTGTAAAGGATGGGAGTTAATTATACATTACTCCATTTCTTACAGAGTTAGTCTTACTACTGAAACAGCTAATCAGAATTTCACCAAGTGAGGTAGCTGAATTAGATGCTGAAAATACTGCTCTCATCATCAGTTATGAAATGTATTAACTGACACTGAAAATTATTAAAGATGGGTTTTGTCTTTAGAACAGCAGAAGAGTTAACTAATGAGCTGCGCTTTTAAAAGTAAAATACTACGGGCTTAAACTGTAGCTGCACATGCTGAAAGTATTGTTGCTCACAATAAAGCTTGGTTGTGTAAATATTGGTGTTTGAGTATGTATATCTAAAGACCTAAAACAATAAGCTCCTTCATACCATATGAACATGCACACAGTGGTCTGAATTCTAATATCTTGCATTTATTGACTTAGAACATTTGTTATGATGTATAAAGTTAACTTGCAAATTCTAATTTATGTTTGTTGTATGCCCATTATAAGAAAAAAAAAATGTGGAAAAGCCATTCAGCATGTATTGCTTTTGCTAATATAATCATGTAGATTTGTTTAAATCCTTGTGGATGCTTTTGCATTGGAATAGCAAACTTGGATGATGAGTGCAGTTTTGCAATATATGTAAATCACAGCATTTGGTCCCTGAAGACAACAGTAATTTGCAAGTGACAGCTGTGTGTGTGCCTTTCCGAAAGCCATTCAAGTTAGTAGACAGGCCTGTTATGATGTATCTTAAAGGTTTCATTTTTATTTGTAAAAGTGCCAGCTTTTTTTCTATACATTCAAAAAAAAAAATAGAAGAAGTAGAAGAACATCAAATGACACTTAAATATAAATCATTCTGAGTGAGGAAGACATTTGGGCTAGGGAACTGGAAGGTAGCCTTCCCCCATTCACCCCTTTTCCTGTTGATTTTTTTCACAGGTTTTGGTAGTGAAGTGGTCTCTTTTGAAAATGATCAAATGTGATTGCATTGTGTATTTTGTTGTGATTTGATCTTAATATAATAATGTGGAGTGAACCCAGATGGAAACAAGAGTAGTTTGCTCTTTGGTTGACTGCTTTTGTTTGAGTATGAATTCAAAGCTGTTCATCCAACCATAGCATTAAAAATTCTAGTGCTTCCAACACCCTACTCTGAAAAACAGTTGATTTATGCAGTTCTAGAGCTTTCTGTATTGAAAGTTTGTGTATTTGACTGGTATCTCTGTTTTCTCGTTTTTGAATACAGGAAGCTTTGATGGCAGCTGAGATCAGTCAGAAAACCATAAAAAAGCACAAGATTTTGGTAAGACTCAAAATTTCTATTCAAAATAAAAAATCTTCTTTCTTTTTGATTGGTGTAAGATGCAACAATATAGTCCCTGTTTTTTATAACACCAGGCAAAAACTGTTAGACATACTTCAACTGGCATCCAATGTCTTGGTTTCAGCTGCAGAACAGGTGTGTTAGTCCATGAAACATGCAAGGGTCTGCATTTTATGAAGGTGCTATTGGCATTGAAAGAAAGATAATTCCATTTCTCTGACTCTGATGGGGATTTTTGTTTGGTTTTACTTTTGTATTAAATTTACTGTTGTTTGAAGTAACATGCAGTATTTCACTATTAGAGATTGCAGGCAGGAGTGACAAATTTCTCTTTAACTTATACCTCATACATGTGACAGGACTTTGTAAAAAGTTCAGGAGATGCTTATTTTCTCATATATAGTTATTTCCCATGTTTATAGTCCCTTTCACAGAGCAACAAAGGGTATCAATGTTTAAAACAAAAGGGGGAATGGTGTAATAGACACAAAAGTGTCACTGTTTTTAGCTTTTGTTTGTTTGCTTTTGTTTAAATTCACTAATACCGTTGCTGCTTTAAATTGAAGTCTGTACAAAGTGTTCAAGATGTGTTTAATTTTTTGGCCAGAATACTGGTGTTATAAGCATGCTTCATATCAGTATGTCATAAAAACTTTTATTATTGTGTAGTCCAGGAGCTGAATCAAGATTTAAATGGCATGCCATTACCTATCACAGAGTTTGCATTTAACAAAGCTACTCTGTGACCCTTGCAAAAGATGTAAAGAATTGTTAAAGGGGGTCCTGGTAATGCATTAGGAGGAAAAAAAGAAACCTAAACAGACAAACACCAAACTAAATTTAAAAACCCCAAGCTTTTCATTTGCTATACAATAAATTATTAAATTCAGTGAAATACAAACAGTTTTTGAGAGCCTGTTCTCTAAAGCAGAAGCCAACAGAATGTGTTGAAGAAACAAAATGTTGACATCAAGCTCTAACTGAAGGATTACTGGTGAAACAATTCATGCTCTCACTGCCTAGTGACACCACACTCAGGATACCTGACAAATCTGGTAGACTTGGGGATTTTTTTGATGGAAGTAATTATCACTGCTCTTCTGCACCTCTTGAGCAGAGGACAGAGATCCTAAACAACCAGATCTACATCTCTTTTCCTTATACATCTTCTCTGCTCACTGGGAAGCTAGTCCACAGGAGAATGAAGATTTCTTTCAGCCTCTTTCTTGAGAATGGTGAAGTTGAAAATACGAAGGTGGTTCCTATAGCATAATTAAATCCTAAAATTTTGTGTATGTGCATTTTTTTCCTAACTTTGTAGTACATTGACCAGGTGAAGTTGTTGCGTACCCCTATTCATATTCTGCTATATGGTCAATACTGTCCTTGATATTGATCAAAGAAATGTTGTGTCTCAGAAGATGCAAATGTTTATTTTTTTTAAGAAACAAGGACTTCTTTTCATGGCACAGCTCATTTCTCCTTTTTTTTTTTTTTTTTCTTTCTTTCTATAAACAATGTGCTTTTTTTAGTGATGTGATTTCTTAAGTTATGTAATGAGTACACTGGGTTATGTCAAAACAGACATAAGTGTTGAGATTACATTAGGAGGTTCATGCCAAAATCTTAATATATATTAAATGTATACCAGAAACATTTTACAACTGACCTGTGTGATGAACTTTGAGAAAGGAAATTTGTTATCTAATAACTAATAATCTTGCTAAGTTCTCAGTAATTCCTGCACTTTATTGAGCAGCATTAAGATTTATATTCTCAACCAATTTTTGCCCTCCTCTACAAACTGTGTTGACAAAGAGCATGTCTTATACAATGACTGTTGGTTTTCTTTTTGAATTAAGTTGAAATTTTGAACTAATTTGAAATGCATAGCAAAATCAGCTATGCATTTCAAACAATCCTTAATAATTAGAGGTGGTAGTCTTCTCAGCATCAGTCAGTGTAAAGACGTTTATTTGTATTCCACGGACAGATACAAGCGAGATCTCTGTGGTTGCTCTTGGGGGATGAAGTTTATTCAGGACGCAGAAAGGCCCTGCCTCGAGCTGCTAGACACAGCACGTGGCTGGGCCTAGGGTGATGGGGGAGGGGAGAGACAAAGAGGGGAGCAGGGACTCCCGGAGGACGCTCCAGGAGGAGAAGGGAAGATCCAAGAGAGCGTCCAGCCCCCCGGAGAGCCTTTATCAAAGGGGGCTCCAGGGTGGGCTGGAACAGGACCTGGGCCAATGGGGTCACAGGCACCTGATGGTTCAGGGGAGGGTTACAGATGTGGGGTGAACCATACATTCTGGGGGGTGAGATGGAACAGTCCATTTGGCCTTTGGACCCCGCTGTAGGTGAGGGTAATTGTCCAGCCAGTAGGGGGCGTTATATTCGTCCTGGCTGTACCATTGTGGTTCTTAATCATATTTATCTACCCTTCCCAACAAGTCAGGTTATGAGAATTATTTAAAAGAGCACCTGTAGTTGAACCTGTGAGCAGCCTATGCAAGTATTTTGTATTGACTGGTCTGTGGACCCTGCTTGTAAAGGAGAATCCAGGGATGCACTTAGAGTCTTGAATTTCCAGCTATATGCACTACTGTTGCAGTAGTTCTTGTGCTAGTCAGGTAGATCACTTCCAAACTTTTATAACTGACTCTGTTTTTATTCCCTCTAGGATATTGGCTTAGCCTATATAAATCATCTGGTGGAGAAAGGAGAGTATGACCTGGCTGCTAGGTAACCTAGTATTAAAGATCTTCTTTGCTGGCTGAAGTGTGTCTGTGTGGGGAAAAAGCAAAAATAAATTATTGATTCTGAAGTATTTGCAGATGTTGATTTCCAGTCTGTTCTGGAATTTCTGAAGTTTCAAAACATAGAGGTGCATTGCAGTGCCATATATTTTTTTGCCTGCAGTGACCTAAAAGTTGCTGTAAATTTTAACTGGAATTGAGGCATATATTTTTAAAAGTAAGCCTTTTTTTCAAAGTCACACTAGATTTTCAAAACTAAGGTTTTCTTTGGATTTTGATAACCTCAGTTTATTAGTGTGTCATTGCACATAAGACCATAAGAAAATAATTTGATTTTGCATAGGTATAAACAAAAATGTCAAATATGGGAATCTAAAGTAAGGATTAGAAATTACCCAAGGTTTTTGTTTTCATGTACATGTAAGCGTAAGCATATCTTTTTAAGTGTTCAGTTTTCATCAGCTGAGATATAAAGACTTCAGTCATAAAGCTGACCAAGAGGGTGGCATCTCTGCCTAGGGTGTGTGGATTTCAACTAGATTAGAAGCTCCCTTCCAATCCAAACCATGCCATGATTCTATGAAAGCTAATATGGCCCTAAAATTAAGGGTGAATAAGCAGTTAGTCCTCTTGGATGCAACAAAATTTTAAGGTTTGAAAGGAGGAGAACCTGGCATACTCAAAGTTGTGGTTGCCAAAATAAGTCACTTTTATAAGTGTCATGACAAGGAGAAGAAGAAAGGAATCCTTGTAGTAATGCTGTCACATTTGTATTACTTTCTGTACCTACTCATCTCTTTCGTTTTCCTTCCAGAAAGTGCCAGAAAATCCTTGGGAAAAACACAGAACTCTGGGAATTTGAAGTTTACAAGTTTAAAGAAATAGGTCAGCTTAAAGTAAGTTAATTTCTGTGTCTGCACGCTAGTAATTTGTATGTTGTACTTACTGTTTGTATTGACCAAGTATTGTATTGACCAAAGCATCACATTTAATGGTCCTGTTCTGGTATTGCTGCCCCAGATCTCTGCTTGTTTCTAGACAGCTGTCTTTCCAATTGATGTATAAATAGCTTAAAACAAGATTGGAGGCATAGTGCTACGTATTTTACTTGTTGGCAGTCTCCAACATTAAAGACCCACCCCAAAGCTTTTACTTGCTAAAATGCTCACAGTTACATCTTTCCCATTTACTTTTCATCCGTTTCCCGTAGGTGCTAAAAATACTACCTCAGGTATTAAGGAAAATAGACTAATTGGGTGCCAGTCATTCTGGCAAATCCAGGCCCATTGCAACAGTTACACAACTTTTGGTGTCAAAGAATTGCAAAGCAGCAGTGAAGACCTATGCTGTATGCTAGAAATGGTGGTGAGAAAGAGGAGCAGTCTGCCCTGCCTGGTGTTTTCCCTAGTCACAAGCCAGCTGCTACAACAGTACACATTTAATGTGAGAGTCTCAGTTAATAAATTGCACAGGACATAAAGCCTAGTACTGTCACTGCTAAACCAATTGAAAACTTTATGCACGCTCCCTTTGGTAACATGTGTACATTTACTTCTGAATTTTATGTCTTCCTATTCAAACTCAATGAGCCAAAAAGGACATACTATTAAGATCTCACAGCATGCAGTCCCTTGCTGGTTTTGAGCTATTTAATTCTGTTCAAAGACCAAAAGTGTTTCAGCATTAGAATTTCAGAAATGTCTGACTTCGGTTTCAGGGCCACTCCAGTGCAAAAACAGCCTTGCTTTTAGTGTGACTTCTTTGTGGTTTGGTGCACGCTTTACTACTTTGGAAGATGAAATCCTATGTTTCTGTTTCTTTATTTCAGTCCAATAAAGGACTTGAATGCAGGTACAGGTGAATTTTTCATACACTGCTTCTTCTTTTGGGTTTATTTTGGTTTTAGCTGCAGTTGTCTGGAAGGGATGTTTGTCTTGTCTCCACTTGCATCATCCAGCAGACTGTCAAATATAAAAATATGTGCAGGTTTGTTGCAAAAACATCTCTCCTCAATTACCGCCTTTCCAAACAGTTGGCTGTTTTCAGCCTTTAGAATATCTCTTTTCTTCTTAGAACCTAGGCCTAGGAACTCTCAGAAATACATGAGATGCAGTCCATTACATTATTCAGCTTCAAGTTGCAGTTCTAGAAAATGCCTGCCTTATTTCACTATTTCAATTGCATATAACTTTTGCCAGATTTCTAAAGATGTCTGAGTACCATAAAGGATTAACTAAATTGAGCCAGATCTGAATGAAGGGGTTCTTGTAATGCTTGGGATCACTTGTGTAGAATTTTTACCTACTTAAGTGACTAGCAGATAATAAACACCATATTGTAACTGGCCTATAATGGCTTTCAGCCCTGATGAGGAGACTATTTGAGATGTGGAAACAGAGTTTATTTCAAACCAGAATTGTCATGGAAGAATTTGTACTGCTTATAAATTGTTGCCTGAAATCTGATGTTTCAAATCTAGCATGATTTGCCAATAACTGAGGTGACAGTAAAGTAAAAGCTTGAAATTTCCTTCCTGTGCAGTAGTGATACCCCAGTGTCAAATTCTGTGAGATGAGTGTTGTTTGTTTGGGTGTAATTTTAGGGGGTTTTTGAGTGTTCTGTATTAAGCTGTCCTGCTTGGCTACCAAAGGTTGCATTTTGATATCTTGATGTCTCTTATCTTAAGTGAATGTCCTCTATAAAACCTAGCTGTGTCAGTTTCAAGATTCTAGAGCCTTGCAGTGGTCTGTTCCTCTCCTGCTCCAGTGGTGGTGGCTTGAGGGAGTTATGTGCTTGTGTTGCCTTTTGCCCAACCCAGAAATGAAACTCGACATAATTTTAGTAAGGAGGTAATATAAAAGAGAATCTTTATGTGAAGGCCTTCAGGAGCAGTTATGGAAAGGTGTCCACAAAAGCCCACCCCTCCAGGGATGAGTACATATTTATAGGTTTTAGGAAATGAACATAATTGATAAAAAACACCAATTAGGAGGACAAGTGGTGATGCAATTCTCCCCCAGGTCAAGCCTCTTCTCTGGAGCCCCCCCTTCAGCACTAGTTGTACTTTGTCCGTGGGAATGTATCTCGAAGAGTTGTTCTCGGCTTTGGTTCCCAGGAAGAACCAAGAGGGCCTTATATTTCCTGGGACTTGGAGCTCTGGAATTTGTTTTGTCTTTTTGCTTAAGGAAAGGCCATGGAAAAGTACTGGGGAAATCTAATCACTAATACAATAAGTGACAGAGTACAAATATATGTGTGAAGAATGCAGAGAACATAGAAAATAAAGCAAAACCCAAATGTCATCACTTGTGCTCAGGTCACTTCAGTATAAAATCTAATGTCTGAGCTCAAGCAGCTGAGGAAGGTGGATGGATTCAAAGGAAGGTTTCATACTCTGTGAGTTCTGGCTGTTGTGGCATGAGAAATACGCTCCATTTTGTTCGCTGTGACAAACAGTGATTTTCAGCAAAGGTGCAGGATGATCAGCTAGCAGCAGCAGTGTTTTAACCAAAACATTGGATGGAACACATTTGAAAGACTTCACGTGACTGTAGTGGGCATAGCAGAGAGTAGCACTATCCTGACAGGCTCTTTCATCTCTTAGATATCCTTTTAATAAATAATTGTTGTTCTGGCTTATTGGTAAGGTGTTTTAGGCTCCCTTATGTCAACTTTTATATGTGTTTTCTTGTATATACCTCGTCCTTACATTTTTTGACGAAAAGTCTGAAAGCAGATCTTGAAACAAGGGAAGAAAATATTTCTCTGTATAGTATCCCTTTTTTATTTTAAGTCACTTTACCACATAGTTCAAGAATTGGTACAAAACTGCAGCTTAAAAATAAAATAGGAAGAGTTTGTAATATCAAGCTGGGTCACCTTTGTGCCAAGGCTTAAAAATAACTTGGATGCTTCTTACATGCTTCTTGTATGCTTTCCTGAGCATGGTGGTCAAACTGCAGGAGGTGGCTGTGTTTTTTTCTTCAAAGCAATGGGACATGGAGACAATGCAGGAGACATTTCCTCCATAAAGCAGCCTGACTCTCACACAACAAGGAAACTACGCCTCTCCAGAGCTTGCTGTGTGGCCAAACTGCAGCCAAGAGTTGCACCAGTCTGTTGGGGGAGTTGTTGATATAGGAGATAGCAGGAAGGTAGAAAGTGGGAGTGAACAGCCATTGGAGATTGTCTTCTGCCTTTGAGTCTCCAGTTAATGTCCAGCTTGCTTTCTCTATGGTCAAAAGAGACTTTTTATGAAGGAGTCGGGAATATGATACCCCAGAGCAGCCATCAAGACTGTACCCTGAGTTAACTGATAAATCCTGTGACAGCTGGTGGGAGCTGATGTTGGCAGCACTACATTTCAAAAACTGGCCAAGTCCAAACAGCACAGTGAGGGGAGAGGTCTAAAATATAGTGAGATGTTTTTTTCTCCTGCTTTGTTCAAGCAACCTCAGTAATAAAATGCTATTGTACCATGTGCCGATAGTGGGCAACAGGCAACATCTCTCAGTGTTTGGAAGAATATTACTGGTGTTGGTCCCTCAGCTACAAACCCTACAATCCCCAGACAGCTGGTACCAGTGGGATTTATTTTGGCAGGTGGAAATAATCTTGGCCTCTAGTTGCATGGAATAGTAGTGCTAATTAGATGCTGTGCTGAAATTCCAGGGTATGAGCTGATTTATTCTGGCAGTTTCTCATCTCTTGCTTGCTGGAATGCAATTCCTTAACACCTTCTATACAGTAACAGATCACATGCCTTCACCCTTTTCATGGAGAGATATATTTTCAAATTAATTTTCAAGTGGGTATGTAAAACTAGCCCTTCATAGAATGTGGTGACCCCAAAGTAAGTCATAATTCAAAATTACACATATATTGTGCTTGCGTAATCAGGTTCTTGTAGTGGGAGTGCTACAGTAGTGGCTTCTGTGAGAAGCTGGCAGAATGCCAGCCAGCTCCAAGATGGACCTACTGGCCAAGATCAAGCCAATCAGGAATGATAGGAATACCCCTGCAATAACAGATTTAAAAATAAAGAAAAAAAAAGTTATTGCACAGTTGTAACTGTGACCAGAGAAGAACTGAGTGATAATATGAGAGAGGAGACAACTCTGCAGGCACCAAGGTCAGTGGAGAAGGAGAAGGAGGAGGTGTTGCAGGCACCAGAGCTGAGATTCCCCTGCAGGCCATGGTGAAGACCATGAAGCATCTGTGTCCCTGCAGCCCGTGGAGGACAAAGGGGATGCAGAGATCCACCTGCAGCCCATGTAGGAGTCCATGCTGGAGCAGATTGTGCCTGAAGGACTGCATCCAATGGAAGAGTGACCCACATTGCAGCAGTTCATAGGGAACTGTTGCCCATGGGATGGATTTATGTTAAAGAAGTTTGTGGAGAGCTGTCTCCTGTGGGAGGGACCCCACACTGGAGAAGGGGAAGGCCTCCTCTACCTGAGCAGCAAGAGAAGCAACATGTGATGAGCTGACAATCATTCCCTGTCAATCAATCCACATTCCCTGTCTCCCTGAGTTTCTTGGGTGAAGGAGGTAGAGCCCAAGAAGGAGGAATGGATGGGAGAAGGTGTTTTTGAGATAATTTCACATCTTATTATCCTGCTCTGGTTTGCTTATTAATAAATTCAATTACTATTCCAGATGTGAATCTGTTTTGCTATGATGGTATTTGGTGAGTGATCCCTCCTGGATCTTATCTTAACCCATGAACCCTTTGTTATATTTTTTCTCCTCTGTCTTGGTATGGAGGGAAGAGAGAGTGTGTTTTTTTTGTGTACCTGGTATCCAGTCAGGGTCAATCCACTACAACACGTTTTTCAGCTAATGAATCCTTATACCTTTTTACAAGGCCAAGACTTCAGAAAAGGGATTTTGAAAACATTCTTGTTTTGAGGGATTTTTTATGGGTTTTGTTTTCTAAATTAATACTGGTCTCTTAAGGACAATATCTGATTCTCCTATTCTAATTAGTATCTTGCCACCTGTCTCTCAAATGATAGTTCTTTCAAATGAGTTATAAAATTCCAGTGTGTATAATCCTAAAGTAAATAACTACTGGGTGCTGCTTACAAGAATGAGTTTATAAGCTTTCCAGTGATTATCAGGGGGCATAGGGGCCATGTTTTGCTTATAGCCTTGTTCTTTTGTTTCACAAAAATTTTTTTTCCTATCAGTGTACCAGGATATTACACGTCATTCACCATCTGACACTTTGTTCTGTTTGTTCCTATAGGCAATTAGTCGTTACTTGCCAAGACGAGATCCAGTTTTGAAACCTCTGATCTACGAAATGGTCCTGCATGAATTTTTGGAAAGTGACTATGAGGTACTTCAGCCTGATGTGTCCACACCAATGTGTCCCATATTTATTGCCAGCCAAATACCCTTAGCAGTGAAGAATTCTGACAGCAAATTCTGTGATGTATTCAGATTATCAGTGGACAGTTCCACAATAATGACAATATTAAAAGTTGAATTTTAATTTTAAGAGAATAAATATAATGTTCTTCAGAGCATGCAAATACTGTGATTATTTAGACTGTATTTATCATTTATTAGACTGTTATTTTTAGGTTTTTTTTAATGTAGCATAAGGGGTTGAGGTGATGCACAAAGCCTACAGCCTCTGAAAGAGACTCAGCTTCAGTAATTGTAATAACTTAGCCCTAAGGAGGAAAGATCTGTGTTCTGTGCTTTACATGTCTGTGGGCACGTGAAAGTTCCTTAAAGGTTAAGGACAGCAGGTATCATCTCAGAGGCTTAGCTGAAACTGTGATGTTTTGAAATGCTCCTTAGGCCATTCTTTCTATTTCTGTTACAATCTCTTATACTTTTAGGGGTTTGCAACCCTAATAAAAGAGTGGCCTGGAGATCTGTACAACAACACAATCATAGTTCAAGCTGTAGTGGATCACCTGAAGAAAGATCCACAGAACAGGACTTTGCTACAAACACTTGCAGAATTGTGAGTACAGTTTTAAATTCCTGTTACAAAAAGTACACTTAAAATAGTGTACTGCAGTTTATCCATATTTGCTCAGCTCTCTTAACATAAATCTTCTTTGCTGCAGTGTACAGAGTGTTAGCTTTCTCTCCTCTCCACTCTGCTGATTGCACAGCTTAGCAATCCTTTACCCTTCCTTGTAATGTTCACATTGAGTATGAAAGCAAATTGTTAAGCATGAGACTGGATTTCCAACTCCTCTTTCCAAAGTAAATAGCTAGCATTCCTTTTCATGCTGTCAGAGGAAACCTCTTTTCTGAAGTGTGCATTTCAGAATTACCCATGTAAAACTAAAATGGTAGGGAGTTTTGCCCACTATTTAAGAAGCAGTGTATTTAGGTTTACTGCCTGGATGGAAATATCTGACTGGAAAATGTGCCCAAACTGATCTGGTTCTTGGTCACTTCATACAGGGATAAAGCTATTTGATTTTGTTTGTCTGATGACTGTGTTATTTTCTTATGCTTCTTTGAAGAAGGAAGAGATAGTGTCTATTGCTATGTTACAATCTGCCAGAAAGTTTTAAGAGAACAATGTTTTTTAGCTCTGAAGAGTGTTCCAATTGGTTTCCAAGGATTGAAGGGCTGTGAGTTGAAAATGGAGAATGAAAAGGTAGAAAACTGCAGGTCCAAACACAAATGAAGGCCAGTAGAAACAGAGGTGAAATTAATGTTGCCTGATGTTTATTTCCCTTTACAAAAATGAATCATAGGTCTGTTTAGATACTTATAAAATCAAGTAGTATCCTAATGTTTTACATACTAGAATATGTTTATATTTTCTCTCATAAGTGACTTTTCTACACTTAACATTACATGTATTATAATCCTGTTATTATCAGGTACACTTACGATCAGCGCTATGGCAGAGCCCTAGAAATCTACTTAACTCTGAGGCACAAAGATGTCTTCCAGTTGATCCACAAGCACAATCTCTTCAGTTCTATCAGAGACAAAATTGTTCTGCTCATGGATTTTGATTCAGAGGTATAGTGATCCTAATGATTTTATATTAACTTTCCTCTAGAAGAGTTAAGAGATTAAAAATAAATTATCTATAGATGATGAAGAGGCAGAGAGTGTGTTTGCTGCATCTGGATACATTCTGAAATAAGGAGGATTGTTTGCCTAGATTGCAAAATAATTGACCCAAGGATTATTTTTTTCCTTCATATTTCCATCTGTATTTCCTTTCCATTTCCATTTGTCACTCTCAGTGAGAAGAGTGTCCACATTATTTGAAGACATTGTTGTGAGTCTCAAGTCACAACATTGAATGTCATTTCACACAGAGTATCAATTCACCATGTTATTCTTTCTGTATTTTGAATCAAATAATGGTATTAATAAGCCAAAGAAAGGAGATAGTGATTTTTTTTAGGCATATACTAAATGTACTTCCCATTTTCCTTCCACCACAGAAAATTAATCTGCTTCTGAAAGTTTACAAGGTTATTAACCTAAATTCCAAAAATCAGGAAGTGTTTATTCCATACTGAGTTCTATCTTCTTTCTTTCCAGCTGGCTGTAAAACCTGAGCAAATTAATTTTGGTGTGATCACTGGGAAAATAAACAAATAGATCTCTTTTTTTCTGTGCAATAGTTGTTTAAGCACTGTAGCTAAAATATGGATCTCTGCTATTGGTGATCGTCTTTAGTATGCCCATTCTAAACTACATGGAGGAAAAAAAGTATATATATTTTTTAATCCAGTAGAATAAGTCATATCAGGAATCTGTGGTTTGGTATATTTTGAAAGTGAAGCAAAAGTTTGCTCTAGAAAGAGGAAGCAGAACCTGAATCCTGGTGGCCACTTGGCTTACATGGTCCTGGTCTGCTTGATTAATGGTATTGGTCTGCACGTAGTTTGGAGGAATCCAGTTGTGAGGCAAGTTGAATTGTATGTTTCCTGCATAGTCATCACCCTACTGTTCCCTTTTGAGATGGAGCAAATGGTATTTCTACATCGTTTGGCAGTGTCTTTTTGTGACTGATGGTGATCCAGTGGGCATACTTCACCTGCAGTGTAGGTGCACAGCATGTACTGATATTAGTGAGGGAACTTAGGAGAAGTATTCTGGAGGAATACTCTGATGCTGTGCTATCAGGATATGTGGGTGTTATGTAAATTGCTCTCTGAATTTCTGTTGCTGAAAAGAGTAGGTCTGTCCATCTGGCACCCATCAGTGAATAAGCATAATACTATATAGAGTGTAAGAAAATATGTATACCTGTTACCTATTTGAATTCTCTTTCTCTGTTGTAGAAAGCAGTAGACATGCTTTTGGATAATGAGGATAAAATTTCTGTGAGTATAACAAGTTCATGGCATGGCAGTCCAATGCTAGCTTTTATTACCTGTCCTTTTTCCAGTCTTGTAAATGTGATGTTTATCACAGGTTTGTTTTGTTTCAGATTGACAGAGTTGTTGAAGAATTAGAAAACAGGCCTGAGTTACAGCATGTGGTAAGTATTCCTGTATTCTGTTGATTCCAAGTTGAGCTGAGTAAAATCTTGGCTGGACATACCTTTTACAGGTGTGTTTATTTTGTCAAAGTGCACCTGACACTGAAATGTCATTAATGATCAGAGACAAAGCGGCTACTTCCGCCCATTTCCTATTTAGCATGGCCATAGCATCTTCACAGTAGTTAAATGATCTTAAAGTGTGTACCTGTGATAATTTGATAACATAATACAGACTTATTAACATCTCCTTATAGCCTTGTAGGCACTTGTCTTTTCTGGTCAATTACTTCTTGCTTTTATTCCTCCTTTTTCCCTACCCAAAAACGGGATTGGTTGGTGGGTGCAGCTGTAAAATACATTTTGGTGATCCACAGAGAAAGAGAATTGTTTGTTTTCCTGGAGCTGTAACTTCCATACACTGTTGTACAGAATTACAGTCTTGTTTGTACAGAATTACAGTATCACTGTAAGGCTCTGGCTCCACACTGCTATTCTAAAAGCTCCTCTTTGGTTTGAACATCCTGTCAATGGAGTGCATGATATGATATTAGAGAGGGAAGTTTAACTTGCTGCTGGTTACAGACAGGGCTCAGGTGTTCATCTGGTGAAGAGATAATTTATGGGTTAGAGATCTGATTATGGAAGCAGATACATGAAAAATGCAGTCCATAGCCCAAGAGCTTTGCAAAGGCAACTGACGGACTGTCAGTTTACAGAAGGGATGTACACAGAAGAAGGCAACTGAGATAGTGAATGGTCTAGAGGGGAAGCCATACAAAGAGCAGCTGAGGTCACTTGGTTTTGTTCAGCCTGGAGAAGAAGAGACTGAGAGGAATCCTTGTAGCAATTTACACCTTCTTCACAAGCATCAGCAGGCACTAATCTCTTCCCTGATGACCTGTGACAGGACCCAAAGGAACAGCGTGAAGCTGTGTCAGGGGAGGTTTAGGTTAGATATTAGGAGAAGCTTTGCCCACTAGAGTGGCTGGGCACTGGAAGGCTTCCACTCTGGGGAAGTGGTCACAGCATCAAGCCTATCTGAGTTCAAGAAGCATTTGAACAATGCTGTCAGGAACATGGTGTGGTTCCTGGGGCTGTCCTGTGCAGGGCCAGGCGTTGGAATTTGATTATGTGATTCCCTTCCAACTCAGGAGTTTCTATTATTCCATTAATAGTATTGAATAAGTGAGTTTGAATTCTGATTATTTTTTGATTCCTAGTATTTACACAAGCTTTTCAAAAGAGACCACCATAAAGGCCAACGATATCATGAGAAACAGATCAGCCTTTATGCTGAATATGATCGACCAAACTTACTTCCATTTCTCAGAGACAGCACACACTGCCCACTGGAGAAGGTAAGCCCCAAAAATCTAAGCATAGGTCCTTGATTTTTATCAAGGTCCTGGTCTGTAACTTGTAGTCTTGTGAATTTCGAGCCATGTCTGGTACTGCCCTCTACTGCCAATATGAGGGATCCTTTGAGTTTGTGACCATCACCTGCAGTTTTGTTTGCAGAGCTGATGACACCTGAGACTTTCCTCTCTCAGGGCAGGAATTGATGGTATTTTTAATGTAGAAGTTCTGACTACAGTTATGACTAGAGTTCTAGCTACAACATATCTACTCATAAGTGTTTAGCCTGACTGAACAGTAGGTTATGAGTTCAAGAAATTGATAATCATTTTGCCAAATCTAGGAGCTGTTTGTGTTAGATCTGGAAAAACCAGTAACTGTAACTGTAGTTATTCTATCTTTTATTGTAAGGCCATAAGTTTCTGTTGAATAATATACACAATATACATCACTGAACTAACAGGGCTAAAAGTATTTCATCTTTGTACTTTGCCTAATACACTTGGGGTTTTACAGAGTACCAGGTTTCCATCTTCTAATATTTTTATATTTTTTTATATTTTCCTTCCTTGCTCTTTCTTGGCAAAATAAAAAATGCATAAAGGTAAGGCCAACCTTGAGTTGTTTCCCTTGCTTGAATTAATGCAAAACAAATGGAAATTCTAAGTTTTCCAGTTTAGATGGCTTAGTATTATATTATCAGTACTTTTTGCTGTTAATAGCTGAGCAAAGCAGACCTTGTGAAAGGGTGCCTATCCATATGCAGCCATAATGATGACACAGTGGAGTAGTTTTCAAGAGTAATATTGAATTTTGTATTTTACGTAGTTAACATTCCCAAGAAAACCTGTTCCTGGTACCTCTCTTGTTTTGCTTCCTACATTCTTGGGATTAAAGAATTGGAATTTGTTGAAACCACTATGTGAAACTAGTTTGTCTGAGAGGTTTCCAGCCAGAAACTGTGATCTACAATATTGGTTTACTTGTTTTTAACTTTCTGATTCTTAGTTTCTGCCTTATGTATTACTCATGTGATCATGGTTTTATGTATAAAACCTTACCTGAATTTTTTTTTAATTTTGAGGCAAATTAATTTTAGTTATTGCACATCCAGCCTCCTATCTTTAGAGGCAGGTGGTGCAGAAAAGTGCTGTGTGAAGCTGATGCTCATTGCTGGCTCTGCTTTGCTGAAGATACGGGCTATGAGCAAGAATAGGTGAGAGACCCATCAGCTTTTGGAAGGTGTGGTGCAATAATCACCAAAGTCAAGAGAGAAGAATATCAGAAAAAATGTATAATTCTAACCTTAATGTTAAAATGTTAGCATCTTTCAGTAAGAAGCTAAGGAAGAGACAAAAAGATACTATTAATTCTGTAATTATACTTCTTACCATGCATGCTGTATAATAACACTTCTTGTGACATACAGATCTTTGTTCCAAGAAATTGAGAAGGTGACTAAGAATTTCCCAGTTACCGCTATTTTCAGTTTCTGTTAAGCAAGTTCCAACACAGTGTATGAACTGCAAAAAGCAATTTCTGTTTGAAAAATTCCACTCATTATTGCTCTAATGAAATTATAAACTCATCAAGAAGAAACAATTTGTGCTCTCTAGAGCACAGCTTTGCTCCTCTCTTTCTTTTAGTCAAGTGCAGTTTAGCAAACATTTTGAAAATGAGGTGGAAGAGAAGTAGGAATGTTCCCTGTTTTCCTCTAGAGGGAGCATGACAGTCAGGAAATGGCAGTATCTAGAACTACTGAATACCTGGTGCTTTGTAGTTTACCTTTTAAGTGGAGAGGAAAAAGAGGGCCATCAGGTATGTATATAACTTATCAGTATTATTCATACCTCCATTCACCTGAAGTATCTACTTGGTAATTCACTTACCTCTAGCCCAAAATTTGTTGTCCATACCTCTAATCCTTACAGTAACCCTTTTGAAACAATGAGATTTGGAACAAAATGTTAATTCCTACCTCTTCTTTGATTGTAGCTATACTTTATGTATTTAAAAATTTGATTTCAAAGTGTGAAGGTTGGTGAACAGTTGTCTTTACAGGAATGTTATGAATCTTGAGTTTGCTTTCTGTTTCCAAATTCATGGAAACATTCATTGCATTGTTTATGGCATACCAGCCCTGCTGATTTCCTGTTACTACAAACCCATTGGTAATCAGTTTGGTAGTATTTATAATTGTGGTGGTTTCCAGCTGCATGCAGATTTTGTAGCTGATAAAGATACTTGGCCCTCGGGTCTTTAAATCAAATTTACAATAAATGCTTCCTCCATATTCTTTCATATTTGTTATTTTGCATTGTTTTCTTGGTTCACAATTTGGAGGGCACTCTCTCTCCTGAAACTATTCTGGTTACCCTGAGGAGAATTTCAGTCTTGTGTTATTAATGTTTTGTATTAACCAACTTTTGGAGGCAGAATAAAGAAGTTGCTGGTAGAATTAAAGTCAGAGATTGATATAGTCCAAACTGAAATATCTGTTCTGTCCACAGATTTATTCAGTCTCAGAATTTTAAAGAGAGTAATGGAAGTCATAGAGTTTCTCTTCTTAATTAGGGTGAGAGGACTTGACAGTGATTATTAAGGGAGCCGCATTCCTGTCAAAATGAATAATGTAACTTCATGGAAAAATCACTTCAAGCTTCTTGCAGCATTTGTGATCAATAAAATTTCATGTTTCATGGTTTCCTTATATTCTCTCTTCTCTTCCCTTACATTCAAGGCTCTTGAGATCTGCCAGCAGAGAAACTTTGTAGAAGAGACAGTCTATCTTCTAAGTAAGTAACTCAGAATAAATAGCTGTGATCAATTATAACACTTTTAAACTTGTAATAAAGTTTATAATGTGAAGATATACTATCTAATATCTAAACCAAATAACACGATTTAGAAAATAAAGCACTGGATCAATATGACATCTTAACTTAATATATTGTGTTACTATGTTTTTTACTTGGTGTTCTTCTGAGGCTCTGGAAGTGTTACAGAGGTTATAGGGAGCAAGTTGGGTGGGAAGGTATTTCTGATGCAATCTCCAAGATATGAGTAATACTGTTGGTTTTGAAAAGAGAGGAGAAGTTAAACAAATGTTGTATTCTGAATATATCTCAGAAGCTTGATGTTATTTTTTGCTGAGATGAAAGATTTGCTTTTATCGCTTTCTATCTTTTTTTTTCCATAAAATTAGCTGTAAATTAACTCCTTCAGCTGACCAAGAAATCTACCTCTGAATGAGAAGCATTGGAAGACTTATGTATATGTTTATGTATTAGTCATGAACAGAATAATAAACATTTTTTAAACAATCTTTGGTTCAGTAAAAAGAATATTTTGTGGACCATTTTAGTCCAGTGGAGAGTAGGATTTACTAATGATTTTGTTTTAAAAATAGTTCATAATTTCTGCTTCTTCCTCCTGTTTCCTCTTATTTTTCATGGGTGTAAGCTGTGCTATATTTACCGCGAATTAAGAAGGCTCATGTGGGCCCTTGAAGCTGGTATTTTATGTTATAATTTACATTTGTACACATACACACACTGCCCCTCATGTTAGATGTTGCTGAAGTTCAGAACCCCAAATATGACCTAACACATCTTTGAGAAATCCTCCAGGTCCCAATCCAGCAACCTGCTCCAAGCACTTGTTCATATTATACTGATTTGCATTCCTACATCTGAATTGACTAGACTTGGTCTTAGTTGAATTAGTTTGAGTCAACTTCACACTTACAAAATTCTTATTGAATGAGCACTGAACACTGATGAGCAATTAGCATTTATAGTCTCTTATTTTTCCTTCCAGGCAGAATGGGTAATAGCCGCAGTGCCTTGAAGATGATAATGGAAGAATTGCAAGATGTAGATAAAGCTATTGAATTTGCCAAGGAACAAGATGATGGAGAACTTTGGGAAGATCTCATTTTATATTCTATTGACAAGCCACGTAAGTGGGACTGTTTCTGGGAAGCTTGCACGTGTGGAATGCTATTGCAAATGAAGGACTGAACTACTCACATGTATGTTACAGAAGGTGTTTTTGTATGGTCAGGGAGGTGTTACAGTTTGTTCTGTCCTAGTGTGCATAAAAACTTGCAGTAAGGCATTTTGAGGGTATGATACACAATGAGTACTTGGAGGCTTAACATTGAATAAGCTCTGCATAATTCTCTCCTTAATGACAAATCAAGGGGACAGTAGTGCTTTTAGTTTGGCAGAATGAGACTTTATTTTTAGACAGCCTCAAAACACATTCTGCAGGTTTGATGAGTATTTTGTGTATTATCTGCTTCCCTTCAAGATTCTGAACATGAAAAGCCTATACCTTTCTTCCTTCAGTAAAAAAAACCAATTTATTTTGTTTCTGTGTTACAAAGGTAAGATTGGTAATAATGAGTGCATTTTGCCTTTCATTCATTATATTAATAGCTGCTTCTAGTTAAAGGGTTAGATGGACTCAGAAACATAAGTATCAGTGTTGTCAAGGAGGCAGATTTGAGGAAGTTCAAATGACTAAGAAAACAGAATTTTCTTAACTATCTATTCTATTAGTTTTTGCATCCTCTTCTGGGGCTTTAAATCAAGACTGTAAAGTCTCTTGTTACCTATTTTCTGGGGGATTGAGAGTCTTGTAGAATTAGTGTCAGAATATGTATCTTTTCATCCCTTGGTTGCTAATTTTGAAAGGAAGAAGTGACCAGAATCTGTTAAACCTCAAGAAGAATGGCATTCTCAAATTACCCATACTTGAATGCATCACTAAAAGTGATGCTACAGTCAGTGATATCTTTAGAGCAAAAGGAATTCAAGGTATACAGAATTCTCTCAGTAACTCTATGTAGCAGTTTCTGCCTATAAGCAGAGCAGCTCTACTGATATTCCTTAGTTGTGGGCGTTGAAGAAAACACACAGCATCGAGTCATCATTCTAGTGGGTTTTTTAGCCAGATGCTCTTCAAAGAGCAAAAGACTTATGTCACTCTCACCAATGTTTAGAAACACACTGAAATCAGGCTAGGTGCTTGAAAGTTTGTTTTTAAACCCTGGAACTGGGAGTGGAATTACCACATAAAGTAGTTATTAGTAGTTAAATACTATTTGTTTGAGTGCTTTCTTTATTGAATCAAAATGCATTATTTACTTGTGAGTTTGTGCTGGAGACTCAGTTACCGCTTTGCTGAATACACTAGAAGTTCTGTAAGTTGCCAGACTGTATCTTCCTCACCTTCCCAAAGGCTTGTATTCAAGTAAATACAGCTGCAAGAAACATACAAAGATTGTAAAAGCAACTTAGTGTTCTCACTTAGCAGAGAACTGTCAAGTAGCTTGCCACCAAAGTATCCTTTAATCAGCTATTTTGCCGGATTGTTTTTCTTAATTTCTTTGTCTCTTGGTTTTCACAGCTTTTATTACTGGTTTGTTGAACAATATTGGAACCCATGTCGATCCTATTCTTTTGATCCACCGCATTAAGGAAGGCATGGAGATTCCTAATTTGAGAGACTCACTAGTGAAAATTCTTCAGGACTACAACTTGCAGGTAGATGTTGCATTCTTCATGGGATACTAATTTTCAGGGAGACAGCAAACAGTCTTTGTCAATGAACAACACAAGAAATTGCTATTGTGATTTGTTCAGTCATTGGTCATGGACACTGTGGGCCAATACAAAACTATGATAGAAATAGTGGAAATTTGCCAAGATTTCTTTATGGCTTCTAGCCCTTCTAAATGTCTTCTATACTGTCATAAGCCTGGTGGGTAAGTAGAACTGGAAGCATCTTGAGTGATTCAGCCTATTTATACTGCCCAACTGTCCAGTATTGGAAAGTTTCATGACCAGTACTTCTCATTCTGTTTCATATGAATGCAGAGGCAGAATGGAGGCAGAATGCAACATTCCCTGACTGAAACATTCATCAGGTGTTAGAGCCATATATTAAGTGTCATACTAACTGAAGGAAGATGAACTTTTAAAATCAAATTCATGTCAATGATGCAGAATCGGTTGGAGCATTATTCTAATAATGCTGAGGTTGTAGGTTCAATTCCTGTATTATGGACCATTCACTTTAGAGTTGGACTCAGTACTGCTTCCAACTCAGAATATTTTGTGCCTGTGTTGCTGTTTATGCATTTTATGAAAAATTGACTGTTAACTGGATTATGGAAGTTCTTTCCCCAGCATAATTATACAGGTATGTGCAGTCCCCTGCATGATTGGTTCTGACACATACTTTGCAAGAACTTACAAGAAGCATAACTTTCCATGTTCCCTGTAAGTAGCCAGCAGAGTGTGTTGCATTGCATATTTTAAATCTCCCTGCTGCAAAAGGAGTCCCAAACTTGAATTCTCTGTATGCTGTTCTGCATCACTCTACTGAAAGATACAGATGCCTCCAGTGTGACTATGCAGAGTCCAAGAAAACGTAGCTCAGTAGGCAGCTGAAACTCCGATTTTCTGAGCCTCAAATATTTGTTCCCCATCTGCTCTTTGTCTGTCAACATTTTGAGCAAATGGATGGACTCAATGGTTACATTAAGGTCACGGCTGGTATCTTGCTAGGCCAACAAAAACCCGTATCTTCCTTCAGGGCAGGGTTTAAGCCTTTCTAAGGCTTTTCCATTATTTTTTTTAATGTGAACTTCAGATTATGACTTTAGCTATTTCAAAGAAGCATTTTACATTTCTTCATCTCCTGACACTTGTAAATAGATACATGTTTGCATATAATGCGTGTTTTAGCATTACTTCATGTTTTGACTTCATCAGGTGAAGTCCAAAGCTACTATCCTTCCAAAATTATACTAGCTAAATACCATGATACATTTCAACAGTTGCATGTTAATCTTGCTGCTGTCAGTACCACCATTGATCCTCCTATTCCTGTATTCTCATGAACTCAAAACATAATATTTGTTGTATTTTGCAGGCAGACTGAGCAAGTGCTGTAAGCACAGCTTCAGCTTTACATATATACAGAATACATTGTGTGGCTTCAGACAAAGCTGATGACATCAATATGGTCATATTTTGGGGATGGAAATACAATTTTTTCTACAAATACCTTTAAACACAATTACTTTTGGATTAAAAGCATGCATTTAATCTTGAGAATGATATCTAAAATGATTTAATGTTAGCATTGAAATAATTTGTGGATTTCAAATTAATTGATTTTGAAATAGAGTTGGATAGCTCTAGGGCTAAAATTTAGATTTCATAGGGATAATAGAAATTAGAGAAGCTTAATGTAATTTGTGTTTGGCTTTCTTGTCTGAGAGAAAAAAAGTATAGCCCAAAAAAAGGCAATATTTCATTAGAGAAATGTAAGTTATAGTTTAAAATAAGTCTGTTCTTTAAGTGGTATTGGCAACATGAAGTGCACTGTTTATGAACAAATGGTATATCTATATTGAAATTTGGAGCTCTTATTGCTGGTCTTGCACACTCACCAAAGTAGCCAATTTTATAGAAGGACTCAAATTTTATAGAAGGACTGTTTCTGTTATTGCTGCCTCATTAGCTGTTTTAAAGCCAGTCTTCAGTGTGTTTGTATGATGCCTGGTCATACCTCTGCACATGTTGTGTAGGTTCATGCTGAGAAGTCACTGGCCTTTATTTTGGCCTGGCACATCTCTGGCTTTTGGTAGAAACCTCTTGATGTGTAGCAAGAAGCATACCAGACATTTTGAACGCACTCAGAAATACAAATTTCACTGGATTTTCTATATCTTCATTTTTTTTGGATCTTGAGCTTTATGTGCATATAAGTTTTATTATTCTCATTTTCAAAGGCAAAAAGAATCTTGTACTAGGATCCACGAAGGAGGAGCAGAGGTGGAAAGAGAGCCTGCTGCTTGACTTGCAAGCCACTGCCTAACACAAAAATTATGCTGGTCTTTTCATAATGATAGCTTCCCAAGATGTTACTGCTGTGCCATCATATTGTTTAATTGTGGGCTCCTTTTTCATGCCCTGATAAGATTGTTTCATACCTATTTGCATGCTTACATGCAAATGCAAATTCCGTATTATGCTTTTGAGTTTCCGTACCAGTAAACTTTACTTAGGTGTGATGTGAAATATGAGTAGGAGTTAAAAGCAGTGCCTTTGACAGACTTTGTCTTTTTGAGAACAGTCCTTTCCCTCCCAGCAAAACCAAGTAAATCAAACTGAGTGGCTACCAAAGTATGTGTGACTCACAGTATGCATTAGAGAATCCAACAAGAAAGTGAACTAATGCAAATCAAATTTTATTGTATTTTTTTTATATGGACTCTTCCTTGAATAATTTTTAATAATTTTGGCAGATTGTAGGCTGATGGCTTCACTTTAAAAAATTGCCATCCAGCTGCCACTGCTCTATATGCTACTCTAAGCTCACCATCACTTTGTGGTTAACCTTTGAAATATGGTCACTACCAACCAACCAAGCATAGCACTAAAAGCAGAATTAGATATTGTTATGGGCAAAAATAAAACACAGATCATGTATGACTTTATTCTGCAATTCTGCCATGAGCTTAAAACTGAGCACACTTCTAACTATTCCCTTAAGCAGGAAAATATTTAAGTGTTTTTTTGAACTGGGATTAAACCTTGAAGTGATTTTTTTTGGTTGTTTTACCCATGAAGATAATTTGTTTTGGTGTTTTGTCTTTGACATTGTTTGAGTTAATGTATTAAAACCATAGTACCTAATCAAATGACCCTGATTGTAATGATGAAAGTTTATTTACTGCTGAATGCTGATTTTAGTGTTTATACACAATAACATATCACAAACAACAAAGTTATGGAGACAAGGACAAAGTTATAGTTCTTTGAATTTTAATAGGAGCATTTAACAAATAAAGTGTAGTCTGAAGCTTTTATATTGCTTCTGAAATCTACTTTGTTGCTGTCATAAATTTGTAGATTTATCTTAAATCTTAAAGATTTAAGATTATCTTAAAGAAAAAACTTCCTACTTATAAGAAATTACACATTCCTAGTGCTTTTTTTATGTGCAAATGAATCACCATTCTCTAGGTTTCTAAAGCATTTTATCACACATCTCCCAAAGAAGGCTGATAGTAAAATCTCCTTATTTGTAGACTTGTGAGTTAATTATAAGCCTGTTGTGCTTTCCAAATGTATAAAATAGGTATCTTTTCAGCTTTGGTTTGTATCTGAATGAAATGTAGGAATTGCTTGTGGTATTGGAAGAGGCTTAAATACCTCCCTTGTTTTAGAAAGAAATGCTTCATTTTTCACCCTTTCTTTGTAATTTGTTAGAATAAACTTTGAAAGATGTTGGTTTTCTAAGACTCCTTTTCTCCTAGCTTTAAAATACAAAAGCAATTTGTTTAGATGTAGTACTTAGAGATTTTGTGGTTTAGCCATTTTACTCAAACATTGACTTACTAGTTTGCACTTTGAACCTGCAGTAACTCTGATGGGTAACAGACATTGATCCATTCACAGAATTCACATCTATCCATTCATAATAGAGTTTATGAACTAGCAGAACCCAATGATAATCCAGTGAATGCTGCTTGAAACATTGCCTGGAAAAATTGTTAGGTTATGTTCCTGAACATAACTAAAAATGCTGTTCAGACACCTTGGAGGCACTAGAGGGCAGGTGGCAGCTTGCACACGGGGACATGTGCCGTTTGGCTGTAAAGACTAAAAATAATGTGGTTTTAATTGTGGCAGTGATGCTGTTTGGAAGAATTTGAGAAACTTTGACTTTTTTGTGGGTTAAGCTGAATTGAGGACTGAATTAATTCCAATAGTTTTGAGTAACCCTTTCAAATTAACTCCATACTGCAGTGCTTTTCTTTAAAGATAATGTTAGGCTTGATTTACCAATGTAAGTCAAAACTGTTTTAATCAAGTTGAATAGTTTATGCCTAATATCTTCCCTAATATAGCCAGAAAACAAACATTTTTGCTATAACAGTTTTGGTTTTATCAATTTTCATTAATTTCACAAAATGCATTATTTCTGCCTAAAACTTATTTCTGTAGGTGCATGAGGCTGTCATGCTTTTGTTCACAATTACATGCCTTTAAAGGATAAATAAAATTCATCCTCAGTTTCATCCTCAGTTCTGTTTCTTTTTGGAAAGTGGTTTCCAAGATCACAGATTTATGCCCATTGTCAGTTTTAACTAGTACAACTTAACCTTAGGGTCCACAGTTACCTATTTCTCTCCCCTTTAATGAAGCTCCCCCTCTCTTGACTCAAATTCCCTTTCCTTTGCTTTCTGTAACTCTTAAATTATCCATTTTTGAGGTCTTCCAATAAATTTCTACAGAAGTGTTGAGAATTTTTTTACCATGAGAATAGACATTTTGCATTCTGCATTGTGATTTTTCCTTTTATATAATAATGGCTACCTATTGTATTCCATTTCTAGCAAAGTAAGGTCTGACAGTCATTAAATGTGGTATGGAAAGATCTCAATGCTGTTTAAATAATGGGAGAAGGTGCATATTTCTTAAAATACATGTTTTATCAGGTATTTCTGTTACTCCTGGGTTTTAAGGCATCAAACAGGATTGAGGTTTTCCAGTGAGCTAGTGATGTCTGTTGTTTCCCTCGTCATTGTTCTTTCTTTTAAATTAATTTTTTCTATTAGCACACTGTATTTTAATTAAGAAATGCTAGGACACACTTCCATATTCCCATTGTATCTTTGTTCTGCTTCTTTCATTTAACATGGTCACAGCACCAAGGTTGTCAAAGTTCAAGAAACATTTAGACAATGTTCAGAGGCACTTGGTATGATTCTTGGTGCTGTTCTCTGTAGGGCTGGGAGTTGGACTAGACACAGTCTCATTCAGTTGTCCTTGCTAAAAGTTTCTTGTATTTTTTTCAAACCTAGCAACATTTTTCTTTATTTAGAACAAAATTTTACATTCTTTGTTGCCTTTGGATAAAGTTGGCAAGGGAAAAACATAGCCAGATTGTTCCTGAGATTATTCATTTTCTAAATGCTTGCCCTGTAAATCTGCATTTAGTTGCTGGTGCTCTGAAATGTTTTATAGCTCAATGTTTCCAATAATGGAAAAGTATCAGTCACCTGTTGATATGCCCAATTTGAAATACTCACGGTGTTACTCAGTGTTAATTTTTTTAATGTACTTCGGATTTGCAATCTTATCTGTGTATCATTCTTAGAAGTATGTCCTTATTACTTCAGAATGTGTATGTGAAAAGGTAGTTTTGGACAGTGTCCATCTGGCTGTAAAATCCATTACTGTATTTATTCTTAGGTATTTGCATTAGCTGTATTTTGCACTGTGTTAGAATGCTCATTATCTCCTGTAATACAAATGATCAGAAGAAAGGAATAACATTGCTTCTTTATACCCGTCTTTTAGTAGGGTTGGTCACATGGTAATTGACTGTGAGTATCTTTGGAAAGCAGTTTTCAAAGGAATTGTTGTCTTGGAAAACAAATTTCCAAACATTATTTTGGGAGGAGGAAGAAAAAATTCCAAAGTACTTAATGGGGTTTGTCATCTTTCCATACTTGCTCCATTAAGTATTTTGAAATAAGGTTCTGTGTAATTGTTATGCCCTTGCTTCTTCTGTGTTTCAAAACCATTTCAGGTAATGGTACGTTGATCTAATGAAAAATACCAAATAAGTCAAAAGGGAGCTGAGACTTTTGCTGAAGAGGAATGAACTAGGGACCTTTGGTTAGTTGCATGGACATTTAGTACTGCTTATTAAATGACTTCTCAGCAGGATATATGTGTGAACAAAATATATTTTGAATTGCAGTGTTTATGAATGTCTTATGATTATCAAATATATTTTCTGAAGAAGACAGAGAAGATACATGAAGAAGAATTTTGAAATGGTTTGGGAATTAATTCTGAGGGGCACTGTATAAGTTCCTCTCTGTTGTAATTTGTTAACGCCATCTCATAGAAAGACGTTCATACTTATGATAATACTATCTTTTTAAAGAATTCTATTTCTTGATGTTTGTTTTTGTTTTGTGGGGTTTTGGGGTTTTTTGGGGGGCTTTTCATTTAGGTAGAGGTGATGGCAACACAAGGTTCCTCCTTTGCCTCCTTTATAATACCTTGAAAAGTTCTAAACATTTCTTGCACTCACTTTTGTAGCAAAAACAGAATGGTGACTTGTCAAAATAGTTGATATGCCCATCTGTTAAACAACTGCTGTCTTTTATGTTCTTTGCACCAACAGATCTTGCTGCGGGAAGGTTGCAAAAAGATACTCGTTGCTGATTCTCTTTCTTTGTTGAAGAAAATGCATCGAACTCAGATGAAGGGTGTTCTAGTGGATGGTGGGTACAGAGGAAACATGACTTTCAAGATTTTAAAGACTATTTTATATAGACTATTTATATACCTCCTGACTGTCTGCTTTGGAAGCTGTCCAAAAGCCTACATTTTTTACCTTATCTGTAGAGTGTAGTAGGATACATGATGCTTTTCCCCTTTGCAAAGGAACTACTTGTATCTCAAAAACTACAAGACCCAGCATGCAGCTGTTTCTCTTGATCACTCTCTGCATAGCCAGTAATGTATTTTGTCCTGCAGTTTCTCTGTAAAGGTAAAAATGATGTTTAATACCAACATGGACAGTCAGATGGTAATAATCTGCAACCAAAGCAAAAGATACAAGAAGATTGTCAGAAACAGTTGAAAATATTTTGCAAGGTGCTAATGATGCATGTGAGCAGCACTGTAATTCACACCAGCTGAGTGCTAATAGCAAGAGACAAAAGCTGACAGGACAGAGTACCAGAGCTTCTGCTCCAAAATGTTGCAGAGTTAACAGCCACCCATCCCATGTTCCTTGTTTCAGTCTGCCTTTTGTCTCTTCAGCACTGATCCTAAACAGTCTCAATCCTGCAGTTCTACTGTCATCAGATATTTATTTATATTGTTATTAGAAATGCTATTTCAGTATTGCTCTTCAATTTTTAATTGATTTTGTTAGGCATCTTAAGTAAATGCTTTAGGACCAAGCTCCATTTCTGTAATAGCAGTATGTTCATACTTACTTTATTAAAAAGTAAACATGGAGTTTGTTAACAAAGCTTAATTTTCCTTTGTTTTTCAGAGGAGAATATCTGTGAATCATGTCTGTCTCCAATACTTCCTTCAGGTAGGATGCTTCTCTAGGAAAAAAAAAAAAAGAGGTTGTAAATTTTTTTAGTAGTATTTTAAGAGGAACTACTCTTTGCTTTTATTCGTAAAAATGTGTAATATCTCTCGGTGATTGCTATATAAATTTCAGTCTCCTATGCAAAGCTTGCTTTTGAATTCTGACATGGGAGTAGAGTCTAACTGAACATTTTTTGTTGCAGTAAACCCAGATATTCTTTCTTATTCAACTTTGACTTCCTTGTTTTCTGTTTTGAATACATGGAATTCAAGGCAACTTTTCATTCCAACAACATACGTATTCTCAAAGATTATTAGAACCACAAACCTAAGCCACCAAATCTCGCCCACCTCTGTTGGATTATTCACACTGAACTTGTAGATGGTAAAATTTTATGGAATGTATTTTTTGTCTGAATGGTGGTGCAACATCTTAAAACCTTCTAAAGTTAGTTGTGAAACTAGAAATTCAGGATGTTATTTCAGAGATGTACATTCTCCAAGACAACTGTAGTCCAGAAATATCAATGTAGTTGTTGGGTGTCTTAAAAAGAAACAGTTTTCCTAAGAGAATATCTGTCGTGGCCTGTTGAAGCAAGAATATGTAAGACGAAGCATATGTGCAGACACTTGTTTGTTTTCTAAGTGTTAATAGCCTGATAGAATCACTTACAATTTATCTAGTTTTTACCATTTTTCACTTAAGTAAATAAATAAAAACAACTATACTGGGATCATATGCAGCAATATACTGACAAGGAGAATCTGGCAGAGTTGAATGTGCTATTGCTTTGAAGTATGTGTGTTGAGGAAAAAAAGAGCCAAAGTAGAGTGCGAATGATGCTCATGAGTGAGATGGTTATTCTTTAGATATGTGGATGTTGTATTTAGGGTTCTAATTTGGCTAAATATTCATGTGGGAATGAAAACTCACATCATGCACCTCGGCAGCTTGTTGCCAAATTTCAGGATCATGGCATGCAGTGTAGTCTCTAGAAGTGCTCAGTGTTCTGGTTCTCTTCACACTAGTGCAAGAAATTTTCTGCTAACTTTTCTTCAAAGCAGCTGCATTATTTGATGGTAGCTTACTCTTCTCCCTGCCCAAATTTAGCATGTAGCATATATTGAGATTAAAATTTTCTGATAGAAATGTAAGCCACAGAAAAATGTTTTTTTGTAACTCCATCACTGGCACACATTTCCTGAAACCGTCACTCTTAATGGTTGCTATGTATGAGCCAGAATAATTTGGAAATTATTTTGAGAGGTGTTACTTGAAGTTTCTCTGTGTATAATAGAATGTGAGCATATATTGCTGTAGCCACTAAATTATTTGTTTCATTGCCCTGTTGAAATGAATTTATTTTTCTGTTTCCCAGATGCATCCAAGTCCTTCAGTGTGGTAGTGTTCCACTGCAGACACATGTTTCACAGAGAGTGCCTACCTGTATCTAACACAGTAAGGAATTAGCTTAATATGTCTGACACCTTTGCCAAAAATAAAGTCACACATTTTCTTTTGTCAGCTCTGGAGAAGGGCATGGGTCTATAAGGAATTGCATGATTATAGTAATAACTTATGATGATACCATATAGTAGTAGGTGACCAAGGAAAGGGAGTTTAAGGATACTGCAACTAAAATTCATCCAATGTAGAAAGAAATCACTGCTACTTTAACAGTATTTTATCACTTTCTGCAATCTGAATATGTAATGCAACTCTGAGACATACAGGGAATACAGTCTGTCTAATTTTTTAGTTCTTTTCCATTCCAGCTTTTACTTTAACTAAACATACTCAAAGATGAGAATAAAGATATTTTCTCAAGTGAACCATATTAAATAATTCTGACCTGGAAGACAAAACTCAGTCATTTCAGAGTGAATGTTTAAATATCTTTGTAATCATCCTTATGGTCAAAACATTTTTTTCTTTGTAAGTTGTTTGGGGGGTTGGTTTGTTTGTTCAATTAATACAAATTAAAAATAACTTCTAGATATAGCAGGGTTCAAATTTAGGAACAAAAGCATTCAAATGGTAACAAAATCACATAGAAAATTAAATTTAAGTCTTTAAGATTCTGTATCTATCTCTGAAAATTAACATGTAGTGAAAAAATAGCTCTAGTGAATCACTTCTTCTGTAAGTAAACAGTGCTTGTAGCCATATGGTACAGCATGGATACTTAAGTATGTTAGGAAAAGCTGAATGTATTAGATCATTTGTACAAGAAAGCATAACAATTAGTAAATATTTCTTCAATATTTGCCACAAATTTTATTGTGAGAAATAATCTAAAATTTGTCTAGCATTCTCAATTTTCTGGGGCAGGTGACTGGTTAGGTGTGATTTTTAAATGTTAAATAGCTATTATATTATGTATATTAATAAACAGTATGTATAAATACAGGGATGTATTCATGTAACAGAGCCAAATTTCCCCTGTTACACTGTATTATGTAGCCTTAGGTGATCAGTCGTGTTACTGATATTTGGTTATCAGTGACATACTGAAATGAAAATAGTGCATGCACAAAATGCACACAGAGCTAAACACAGAGTAACGATAAACACATCTTTTATTTCAAATGACAGTATTCGGGCCCTGATCTTAATTGTTGGAAATCTGTGGAGCATTACCCAAAAACAGAGCTGTGACTAAGGCATCCAGTCGTTATTGGAGCTGACCAAGTGACTTTACTGTCATCTTTATATATGAAGATAATCAGTGATGTTTTTCACTGTGTACTTTTCATTTTTGGTGTGAGGAAGTTTGACATTACTCTTCTGGCAGGTGGTGGTAATACCTTGGAGTGAGTGGTGAGTTGTGCTGCCCTCTGACACCAGAACAGCCTGCTTTACTATGGTTTTCTATATTGTCTTCCCTCACCTATCCATGACTATGTTGAATGGGAACAGTCTGACTGTGAGCAGTAATGTTGAGAAGGGCATTAGCACTTTTCATTTATCTTTACACATTCTGATGTTGCTATATTTCTCTGAGAGATTCCTGTTTTCTTTTTTGATCCAGGTATCTTCTGTCCAGTTCTGCAATATATGCAGTGCCAAACACAGGGGGCCAGGAAGTGCAGTCCTGGAGATGAAGAAATAGCAGTGGCCTAGTTCTCCATGTCAGTCAGTGACACCAAATCTGTTAGGACCATGCAGAGCCACTGTAATTTTCCATTTCTGTATATAATTTTGATTGTGACTTAAAAGTAGTTCCTGTAGTTTATCCTGTTTATTGAATATTTTGGGTAATGAGAAAATGTGAAAATCTTTCTCTGGTAAGTCTTTGTTATGCAACTCATATGTCATGGTTCCTTTGCTCGGCTTGTTACTTCATTCTGGAACAGAAAAAAAGTAAATAAAATGGGAAGAAAAAACACATGCAATTTAGAGATTTGTGTTTGCTATCTGTTAATGTGCTTTACAGTTTGGAATCACATCAGGCTTATGGTTGGATATTGTAAAGAAAAATGTAATGCCATGAATTCAGCTTGCCAGACTACTTCAGTCCTGATTTAGTCTATTAGGGACCTGTTTACCTTGAGACCCATAGGAGTCTGACTCCTTTCAGTGGAATTGATACAGAACTTGAAGTTGTGTGCCATCTTATATCTTCAGTTAACAAATTTGTTAACTGAATTCCATACATTGGCAGTTTGCTTTGGTTGCATATTCACAGTTCATTGGAACTGGTTAATTTCTCAATTCATCTTCACAATGCAGTAGTTTAAAGTGATCTTTTCTCATGTTCAACTCCTCCAGAAACTTTATTTTTAGAAGTCAGCAGTAGGTCTTTACACTTACTTTATGTGTGAAGTGTATGGTTTCATTTAAGTGCAAGGGAAAAATATATATCTGACCTTTCAAAGGTAAAATCTCTAGAAGTTTCCTATGGCCTTAGCAATTTAACAGCTAAGTTAAATAAGTCAATTGGACGTTAATAAAACAATATTTTTAATTTGAACTGCATTCTGTTTTGTTGATCCAAAGCAAGTGATCTTTGAGAATGTCTTCACAGGAATGCAATCTGTTTATAATACATACTGACTAAATTCAGTATAAGCATCTTTTCCTTAAGAAAAGTAATCAGAACTCCCAACTTACTTTTCTGCTTTTTAATAACTTGAGTTTGAAAGTAAAAATATATTGTTTTGCCATCAAATTGTACTGTTTGAACAAGTTAACATACTACCATGCTAAGGTCTAAAACAATGGTATATACTGCAGTCTATCTGTAAAACTGGAAAAAGCGGTACCTCTAATACAATACCTTCTATATCTTATTCCCATGTAAGTACACCTTAAAATAATGTCTACTGTGATAAACTAGAAACCCAAGTTTATGTATATTCATAATATTATTTTTAAATCCTCAGGGCAATTGGTCTAGCAATCTGAAGAATGATTTTTTTTGTTGTCTATTGTGGACATCTGTATAATACTGGAATAAAAATATTTAGAAATGCTAAGATTTACTCTGCATGATTACATAGGCAAAACAGTCATTAAAAGAATAGATTTTTCAAAACCATACTTACCTTTTGTGTTAGTACAGACAGTTGAGGAAAAAAAAATTGTGCAAATTATTAATGAACATAGACAAGGTGGAATAACAGAAGGATAGGAAGTTTGTAGTGAAGGGAATAATCTGCATACATCAAGCTTCACCGATCAGAATTAGTGTCTGGCTTTGAAGCTGTTTGTTTTCAGTACCTACTACATATTCTCAGGTATATTGTTCCTTTATACATTCTTCACTACACTGATCAGGAAACCTGCTTTGATTCCTAGTAAACTAAATGTTCCAGTGACCTCAAGGGTTGTTTCACCATGATGTTTGAGTTATTGTATGCCATGCCTGTAAAAGTTTAAAAACTTTTTTAAACCCCCCTTCTTCAGTAGCTTTAAGCAGATTTTCTATGTTCTATCCTAAGAATGCAGTAAGTTGTCAGCTCACAGGAGGAAAAAGTCAAACTGCTTCTATACCTATATATGGAAAAGTGTCCTGTAGATTAGTGTTATATGATAATTTCAAGAAGGTATATTTTTTTACTTCAGCTTGGCCATAAATTCCCTAAAGCATTTGGGCATTCTGCATCTCAGTTTGCTAGTCTGCCATCATCAGCAATCATAATGCATTATAGCCTGGCACATTCTTTGCATTATGCAAGTAATTTTAAATCACTGTATGAAATTCTAATCAAAATCTTCTCTAAGTTCAAATCTTCTTTGATTTGGGCTTCAGGGACTACCCTTTTCATGTTCCTGAAGTCTAAATTTGCTCATTAAGATTCAGCAGGAAATGTGCAGACTTGACTTTGATACACTCTTCTTCCTAAGAAGCCTTTACATCATAGAAAACATCTGATATTAGAGTCTAAAATATTCAGCTACCCAAGAGCTTTTCTTCTGAAGAAGAATTTTGCATAAGAATTAACTGTAAAGTTGAAGAGCCTATCAGAAAAGTACAGAGTAGCACTTAATCAGTTTTAGTTGCACTTACTTCAGATGTCAAAGTTCTTGTGCTTTTAAGGTAAACTTAAACACTGTTTTTTCTCTGATACATCCAGTTCTCTGTGAGTTCTTGACCAGTAAAGGTAACTGAAAGGATTTGTGATGGACCAAGTAAGTATAAATTGGTTTGTCATATCAAAAGAGAGAAAACTATTTTGGCTTGTAAGCAGGATATCTCACCCCTTCCCCCCCCCCCCCCCCCCCCCCCAAGAACTTAAGTTGTTAACCAGTCAGGCAACTTAAACAGGACAAGCTGGCTTTTAGAGAGTTATTTTCATGCCTTGGGGTTAATACGGGTCTCCCAACTGCCAATAAACATCTTGCTGTTGAAGTGAGAGCTGGCAAGATAGGTTGGATTTCTGACTGACAGACACTCACAAAAGCCACACCAAACTTCCACAATGCAGAAGTCTTCTATGCATTTTCCTGGAAATGTATGGAGCTTTCCCCTTGAGTAGAGATGCCTGCTTTGCAGTTACTTTACAGGGCTTACGTGTACTGTGTACACTGTGTACATTACTCTCATTTCAGCTGTAAGTTACATTCAACTCCTAATCAATACTATTTCTTTTGGTAGCTTTATTATAGATACCTTGATAGAGCACAGCATTATATGTTATGCTGTAATCTACTAGTAGTTCTTTACTTTTATACTTTGTATATTCTGATCAAGATCTTTATCTGTTATTGTTGGGGTGTGTTTTAAGTTTCCCCCCAGTTATGGTTGCTCCCTCTCCCCCTCTTTTTGTAAAATGGTCCAGCCTCCCTTCTCCTCCCCTCTCCGTCCGCCTGTCATTCCTCCCTCCACCCAGTTCATTGAATTCCTGCTGAGTTATTCCCCCCCCAACCCCACCCTGGTGCCTGTCTGTCTCTCAGAGACCTCTCCCTTCCACCTGGAAAGTTCCATCCAGGGCTTCGAGTGATAAGCTGGTCTCCAGGGTCCCCTCCCTCCCTCCTACCTCACTGGAAGTTTCCCCTGCGTGTCACCCCTGTTACCACCCCCAGGTGTTATCCCATTTGTTGGCTGCTGCTTCCTCCCCTTGTTACCTCCCCCCTTTAACAAGCAGGGCACGCAGTGCCCATCGCCTTTTGGTGCTTATCTTCCTTCGAGCCAATAAACTTGGAACACAGATACCCCCAGAAGGACAGCTCCTTGCTTTTGTCAGAGTCGCTCTGCGTGTCTTTCTGTCTGGTGGCTTCATTTTTCCCACTGGCCATACCTCGTGTCCCCTGCAGCACACAAGAGTGGCCTTTGCTGCCGCTGTGCTAAAGGTACTGGGCTAACCGAGACTTGGGAAGCTAGCAACATCCCTGGTGGCTCCACGGTAGAATTCTGCCTGCCACGGCGGCAGCCTGGGTTCGATTCCCGGCAGAGGCACTAGTGCTAGCTGAGACTTGGGAAGGCACAATGACATGTTATCTCTTGTCTGCTTAATAAATAATTCATTTTTATAAATAGACCTTAGTTCCTTAGAACTTGCCAAAGTGATTTCTTAAATTTAAACTGTTCTCAAAATCTGAGCCTAAGGCAGGGCTTGTTTAAAGCTCCCACTGATCCTGTGACAGGCTAAAGTGAGTCTTCAGATGATTTTTCTCATCTTTCCTTGTTTTATTATTTTAAACCCTCAATGCTGTGTGATAGGCTTGGTGAAAATGTTGGGCTACACTGAAGATTTTAGGGGACCCAAGAGAATGGGGAGCTAGAGGTGCCTGCTAAGCATGACTATTTAGTCCTGCTGAGAGCTCAGTTAAAGTGGACAGCATCATGATAAAGGTTGACTTCTGCAAAAGGAGGAGTTAATTGTTCTACTGGATCAGTGATGTATTGAATCAACTGTGTGTGGCAATTGGGCAAGAGTCTGCTGCCCACCCTGACATGATTCAGTGGGTCAGTTAATACTTCAAGAAGTTGTTCTGTAGAAAAAGGTATGTTTTCTAAAGCTGCACTACAGGAAACATTAAACACATTGGGTATTGTGTCTTGGAACTTAAGTTCAGTTTCTGACATTGATCTTGTCGTATGGAGGAAGAGCAAAGACAAAATTAGTTGCTTCCCCATTTTTGGATGCATATCATATGGAATATGGTATCATATTCGATACATTTTGGCTGATAATTGGGTGGAGATTGTCAGTATTCTGTATAGAATGCACAGGTTGGTCTAGCAAATTTTCATCATAGGAAATTTAATCACTTTCTGTCTTAGGCTTAATGTTTATTCAGCTGGAGTCTTTTAAGCAGCACTGTTTGATTATTTTGCTATTGAGTAGACTACCACAGTGGTTTTCTGCTTGCTGAGGAGAATTCCTGATTGTAATTCAAGGGGGCTGGAATTGCTAATAATCTCGTGAATAAAAACATCACAGTGGATTTATTGCTTCTGAAATGATGTAATTTAGCATTCAAATACGGTGTGTATGTAGTTGCCTTGTAAATACAGTGCCATCTCTGCAGGTGATGGTCTGTGATGGTTGCCCTGGTCCTTGCCTATGCTATTTGACAGCAGTTTGGAAAACTACTTGCAGAAAAATTCTTATCTAATGCTGAACAAGGGTGATTATCTAAATGAGGAAAAATCTCTCTGAGAAGCTAGTTTCCCGTCTCCTGTTGTACAGTTCTGGCCTCTTATTCAGGCAGTATAATTTTACCCGTGTTTGTAAATGCTAGGCATAACATCAGGGTCTCTTCCTCTCTGGAAAGCTTCCTCCTCAAGTGCATTTTTTGCCAAAATCTTGCTGTAAATCAACTGCTGTACTTTCAAAACAAATTAAACAAGACTAGTAAAAAAATAAGTACCTCATATAGAGAATGACTCTTTAATTATATACTTTTGGGGCTGTCTACTTATGTGCCATGAAAGATTAATTTACTTTTGG